AACCGCGCTCCATTTTAAGTCTAAATGAAAGGTGAGGATCGTCACAAATTCTGCAACATTGCATCATTGGTCCAAGTCCGCCAATGTGCCACTATAGATCTATTTAACATCATTAACACGCAAAAAGAAGGTGGTAGACAAGGACCAGTCGACCGAGGCAGTACCACCCGCTAGCTTTTCCCAGGGTGTCTTATAAATGTCCGCATGTTTCCACACCCAAGCTACGCAGTCGGTTATCTCCCCCAACAAACAAGTTAATAATGATAATGGATCCCTCGAGTACTAAGAATTCCGGGCGTAAACTCACTCTCCACTCTCGGAATGTACGGGTGGAGGGTGGACTCGAGGGAACGACATCGAAGATAAAATTTGTTTCGGGAACATCTGCGGGATTAACAGCAACATTGATGCTTTCATCACTACTTGGAATCCAATCGTCCCGCCATGCTTTTCTTGACAGAGACAAAAATCTCAGTCTGCACCGATTAACCATCTTAGCTTCCCAAATTACGAGGTGCTCTCCAATCTGAGAAAGAACGCAGCAGTTTTTCCTGCTCCAGAGATGTTTGTTTGGACTCAGACCGGAAGGACATTTTGTGGCTTCGCCTCAACTCCAAAACGTCCCCCAAAATTTGCCTCGGACCATAACTGGGATGACCTACTTGAATACCTCGCAGTCAAGATAGACTTCCTGAACATCAATCACCCCACTTCTGAGGTAGTTCTCCTCGGTAATTCCAATACCCATAATGAGCTTTGGTTGGGCTCCGTCAAGACAGATGCAGCAGGTCGTGCACTTGAAGTGGTCGCTTTTACTCAATGGCTGACCCAGCTTGTGACGAGCCCTAGTTTTTTCCCTCGCGTCTCGTCACATGGCAGAGTAGCCTGCTGGATCTCTTTCTGACCACGCATCCTGTCCCTTACACCACTGCCGCCATGTCCCCCTGGGTAACTCAGACCACGGTGCTGTGGAGGTTAGGTTTTGGTCAGAACAGCAGAAACTCGCCCATGCCGCAAAATCTGGCATTACGGACATGCCGACTGGGAGGGGCTCAGAGATTTCTTCTCTACCTTTCATTGAAAATATGTTTGTTTCGCTGACGCGGATGCGCCGGCTGCCTGTTCTTCGATAACAGAAATTATCCACGTCGGGATACATCCTCATATAGTGAAATTGCCTAAACCAAGGTCCAATAGCTGGTTCAACAAATCGTGTGACACTGCTCACCAGCAGAAGATCAAGGCACACAGAACCTTCTTACAAACCCCCACTGTACAGAACAGACAAGCCGACATCGAGTCCAGAAACAAATATAACGAAGCGGTTCGCAATTCCAAAGATCAGCAAGATATACAAGTTAGTCACAGGGTAATGTCGCAGCGCAATGGCAGTCGGTCTTTCTGGACGCTGGCCAAACAGATTGAAAAGAACTTCTCACACAGAAGCCTTCCACCACTTACGTGCCAGGATGAAACGATTGTATCCGACTCAAAGGCCAAGATCTTTGCTGCCAACTCCACCATGGACGTTCCCCCCAACGCCCAAGTGCCATCAATTCAAAGGGTTTCCTACACTATGCGTAAGACAAGTGCTCTTGTCGCTCGACATCAAGCTTCTGGTCCGGACTTGATTCCTACCATTACAGTACTTTTGCGTCTCCAGATATCTTATGAATCCGGCACCTTCCCAGAAAACTGGAAATTTGCTCATGTTCAACCCATCCCAAAAAAAAGGATCTAAGACCGACCCTTACTATTACAGGACTATATCCTGCTTTCTGTTATAAGTAAGGTGAAGCAGAGGTGCATAAATCGCGAGCTTCTGGACTACGGACGTCACAGCTTGATTAGCGACAAGCAGTATGGTTTCCGGCACCAGCGATCCACAGTGTACCTCCTAGCTTACGTCACGCTATTATGGAGTAAACTCAACCAGTCTTATGGTGAGGCTCATGTCGTTGCTCTGGACATCACGAAAGCGTTCAATCAGCTGTGGCACGCTACCCTCTTAAGCAAACTTCCATCCTATGGCCTCCCAGAAAAGCTTTGCAGATGGGTTGCTGACTTTATCCCTGGCCGCAAGATATCCGTCATAATTCATGGGTTCTCATCTTCATCCCACAACGTCAACGCGGGTGTTCCCCAGGGACCGGTCTTGGCTCCGACAGTGTTCCTTTTACATATCAACGACCTCCTTTCCTGTATGATCAACCCAATCCACAGCTTCGTTGATGACAGCACTCTAAATGCAGGAATTTATAGTGACAAGCCGCTCTCTGGGGCTGAGCTGGAAAAAAGAAGACTAGCGATAACTTCCTCTCTGACGAGCGACCTGGAGGCTATCACTGCTTGGGGACGCAACAATTTAACAGTTTAATATCCGGTGCACATGGACGTATTTTGACAGTGCGGTAACGCAACGTCGACGTTGCATCGACACAGACGGTGTTTTTGAGAGAAGTTCACACGCGCCTACAATGACGCATGCAGTTGTCTCGACGCGACGCAAGTAACAAGATGGATTTTGATCATGAACAATGTGTTTTATTTGCATATTACGTATATAAGTATCATATTTGTAAAACGAAAAGAAAACACCGAGTACACCCTTAAGCCATGTACAGATATGTAACAACACCGCGACCTGAACCCCGCTAGTGTAGACGGTGAAAAGAACGCCGTCGCGAACGTAATTAGCGTTACAGCTCGCCGTGCGGCCCGATCCAGAGCAGCGGAATTGTGGGATGCAAAACATACCCTGCATTACAATAAATTTAAAAAAATGATGCCTGGGAGCAGATAGCGTCCACAATGGGAACAACAGCTGGAAATTCTGCTATCAAATTGTTGCAACCGTGTGCTGATCTATTGGTATATAACTGCGTTTTCCACCATCGTCTCGGACGTCGTCATCACTTGTTTTTGGATAATTCATAGTGAATATAAATAAAGACAGCTGCTGCTACATCCATTTCAGTTAGTATTCGTCTTTCACTGAACGACAGACATCAAAATTGGATCGTCATTTTGTTGCGCGATGTGGTTGCATGACGTCGATCGGTTTGTGGTGATGCTCGTTGCAATGTTGTTCGTCAAAATGCGCGAGGTTCGGTTCGCGGTGTTGTTACATATGTATTTCCGAAAAGTGCGTATTTTAACGTTGCGTTCCCGCACCGTCAAAATACGTTCGTGCGCACCAGCTGTGAACTTTCCAAAACTAGCGCTCATCCGGTTTCGATGGTTGGCCGAGTTTTGCCAACGAGCCGTTCATTTCGGCTGGTCGGAATCCAGATCCTTGATCTGGCACGAACACATCTCGACAATAGCGGCAGCTGCTGGGAAAAAGCTAGGCTATTTGTTTAGGGCTAATACGTACTTTTCTCCGCATAACATGGCTAGAGGCATTGTCGGGATGCAGGATTGTACCTTTGCAACAACGTTTTTGAATGAAGATTGTCATGCAAAATTGTGTGCACTGTTGCGGATCCTACCCCAAGAGTTGCCTCCAAAGTCGGATATGTGCAGCGAGATTCTTCTTCAATTAGCCGCTGAACTTTAGCAATGTTTTCTGGAGTCACACTAGAACATGGCCTATCACTGCGTTCTTCATCAGCCAATGAAACACGCCCTCTTTTAAATTCGGCATACCAGCCCGGGACGCATTTTAACACTATGGTATAGGATTCGGCACCAGACTTAATTTTATTGGTCAATTTCAATTTATTTAACCAATAACAAGCTGGGTGCCGAAATCACTACCGGAATGTTAAACAGTGCTGAAAACAGTGTCAGAATGTTATCAATAAACTACTTCTACTAATATATGTAAATATAACTTGAGACGTGGTCATTGTCGTCTAGACCAGTTAGGTGAAAAATTAAAGCTTCCGCCTTGTGTTGGGTACTTCGACAAAATTTAAGCAAGGAGGACTCTTTATACTTTTTTTATTCTCTCTAGCTTTCAATGGTCTTTGCCATCATCATCAGGAGAGTAGTATGTGAGGATGTTGCTAATTGTTGTTTACGTTAAGGATGAGGGAAACACCCAGTAACGTGCCCACCATTTTGTGCAATCATCAAGTGGCTTCACGATGTAATGTTTAACTTTCAATTTCTAAAAAAATATTTTATCTGTTTTTAACTTGTTCTTGTCATACAGCTGTGTGTATTTTATATAATTTTGACCATTGTACCATTTATCCAGCTTTCACCATGTTACTGGGCGTTTCCCTCATCCTTAACGTCCTAAACAACAATTAGCAACATCCTCACATACTACTCTCCTGATGATGATGGCAAAGACCATTGAAAGCTAGAGAGAATAAAAAAATTATAAAGAGTCCTCCTTGTTTAAATTTTGTCGAAGTACCCAACAAAAGGCGGAAGCTTTAATTTTTCACCTATATAAATATATATAAATTTTTCATGTAATTTTTCTTATTGCTAAACCAAGTTATTAATTTTAAAATCATTAAATATCGTAATAGGAAACAACGTGCGTTGATTATTATCTTACGTATTTCTGGCGGAAGGTAAGTAAATTTAAATTTAATGATAACATTCTGACCCCGTGCTCAGCACTGTTTAACATTCCGGTAGTGATTTCGGCACCCGGCTTGTTATTGGTTGAATAAATTGAAATTGACCAATAAAATTAAGGCTGGTGCCGAATCCTATACCATAGTGTTAAAATGCGCCCGGGACGGAGCTTCATCCAAATGCCAAATTTGGTTACACCATGTGCACTGTAAGATGCTTGCAAATGAACTGAATGCGGCAACTTGCTAATAAAGGACTGCTCTTTCTAATAGTGCACTGTTGCCGGTTTTAACTAGTATAGTTAATGCGCATCTCAAAATGTACAGCATGTCCCTAGTATATTGTCCTTTTCTTTATGTTCTTGTATCAGTTCTTCTATTTAAATGATGAAAGATATAAACTAGTGATGAACCTTAGGGACGTAAAACTCACTTTCAGATATTATTTTCAGTTAAATTTTGCTCAAATACAACAAATTCGGGAATTATGTAATTTATCGGGCAAGTAGGTATTAGTAGTAAAAAACAAATGAAAATACATTATATTGTTAATGTTGATAAAAACAAAATATAAAAAACAAACTACTCTGAAAACATAAGTTTCAGCGACCAAAAAGGACAAAGTCAAATCCGGAAGCTCGGATGAATAAAAAATGTGACAGAACTGAAACTAGAAAGCTTTACTGCTCTTCCACCATTTAAGAGTAGCTGCAAAAGTTCAGTTTTCAGACAGATTCTAATATAAAGGTGCACGCTTATTATTGCACGTCAATAGAGTCTGTTTCTATTCTGAGATCTATCGCTACACATTCGCTTTTCAAGGTCGAAGTTTTTTCGGAAGCGATCCAAACGCAGATATAACCGTCCCCTTCGTCCCCGTGACACTCGACGTCAACGCGGGTTGTATGACACCAGCAGGCTTGATTGTGGTTACCGAAGCGCCTCCGCCACCCGGTTGGTCCCATTTGCTCTTTCTCTTTTTGTCGTCTTCTGCTTTCTTGGTGCCTGATAAAACTTCCATTTTTGCTCTCTTGTCCTTCTCCCGTCTATCCATTTCGTGTTTTTGAACTTTGGCTAGCTCTTCATAGAACGATTCTTTGTCCCATTTCAGAGGATCGTAAATCGATGGCGGGTAGTTTGTGCCTGTAACAAAATAAGGATGGATTTAAAAAAATGTGTTAGATCTTACGCTGGACCAGTAAGGCGACATTTTTGTTTGTGGTAATGACAACTAATGTCCATTACGGTAGTATAACAGCTATATGGTAATATTTCGAAATACAGATATCGAAAAATGACACATAATGCTGACGGATCCAGACGCCAGATACAGAGCCGTACTTCGTTTTGTTTTTTGTACGGTACAGATTCATTTTGTACTTGCTAACAACCCTTTTATCCAAAAAAATTCATGTGCATATGCTGCAAGAAGCTAGTTTATTAAATTTACACCAGATCCATTAATGCCAACGTTACAGAATAATACGAAGGTGTCACTGCTTGGCGAAATAATTAACCTAAATCAAATCCAAGGGAATAACCAAAATTGCTGTTAATTACCACGGTTATAATGTGGTTTAAGATGACACACGAGTTGATGACGTCAGTTACTCGACCGCTTGAACGCGTTGGTTTTAACCGCGGTTTTGTTGCAAGTTGTTTATTTTAGAAAAGTGCGAATATAATTTCTGATTATTTTTATTATTACTTAACAATCGGCGCTTTTTCGTCTACATTAGTGATATGGAAAGTTTAAAAAAGAAAACTTTCATAATATTAATGAGATAAATGTTTTTTTCTCAGAATATATTGTTCAGCTGTTAAATCACTTGAGATAACCTGTTTTATTTTTAAACAGGTTTGTCGTGAAAATAAAAGATATGACGTAAAAAAATTTAATGGTGGAACCATGACTTTGTAGCCATGATAACTTTCAATTCTTTAAACTTTTCTGTAAGTCAAAAAAAAAACATTTATTGATTTAGCAGTAAAAGCGATAAAAAAGATATTATCAAAACCATATACAGGTGGATGCTAGTGAGTTTATATGGCCATATTTTAATAATCTTGTGGTATATTGCTACACAGGATACTTTGTTAAGCATAGGAACTAGATTTAAAGTGTCCCCAACAACAGGAATGAGTATAACTAATGAGGTGCTTTACTTTATGCTAAAACTGAAGTCAGCCTGTATCAAGTTTCCCAAATATCAAGCTGAAGTACAACAAAAGTATCCAATACGCGCCAAAATTCTAACTTGCCACATTTAAAATAATAACCAGGAATATGAAACTACTCTGGAGTTGGGAAAATACCACAATTTACGGTGATAACTATGACACTAACAGCTGATTGATGACGTCACGGACCTTATAACCAAACTGATAACCACACTCGCTTAAACTTATCGGTAAATACCAATCCAAATGATAAATACCATTTTTATTTGGTTATTCGCTTGAATTTGACTCTAAAGCAGCATCAAAATTTCGCAAAACGCGCGCCACCTCAACTGTTGTCAACATACGCCTCTAGATGTCAAACTGTCAGTATATAATAATTAAATAGGGTATCTTCCGATATTTTAATACAGATGCCATGACGTAATTAGTTTTAGCACGACTTGATACGTGTTTCACTACCCTGTCCTCAGAATGAGATCCTACATCTACTATGGAGGTTAAGTTTTCGTCAGATGTGAGTAAAATAGCTTTTGATTATTATATTACTTTCTATCTGCATACATAATATAAAACAATCATACTGATAGTGAACATGGTCTACCATTGGCTCCCAGTCAAGAGGTAAAATATCTGGGTCTCATGCTGGTCAGAAAGCTGTCATGGAAGCAATTTTAAATGTTTTTTCCAACAAACATGCAAAACAACAATATATGGAGAATAGCCTATAGTTGAGAATAAGAAAATGAAAAGATCTCAAACTCGAAAACAATGAGAATTGAGGTTTGAATATTTCATTGTGATACACTACTTATCTTTGAATTGCTTACTGAAGCAACACTGATGGTTTCACCACAACTATGGATACAAAAATGGGGTCAAGTAAGTTGACTTCCCAGGAATGCCGTGATCAGCTCACAAAGGATTATGTTTGGCACAAGTTAGCCTTTATGAGAAAAAAAAATGGCTACATGGAGAACAAAAAATTGAATGATCCTCCTCCCCATGGAAGAAATTTCTGTAGGCGCACATTACGTTACTATGACTGATTAGTCATAGCGGGATTCCGCGTAGATGACCATATTGACTTTAACTGCAAATAGCCAGTGTTGCCAGACGAATTCTGCTAAAAATTCCTAACATTCTATTTTTTCCCCTAGAATTCCCTAGATGTTTATTTTCTAAGTCTACCCTCTTTTTTCTGTCTACTCGCCACCCCCAATTTTTTCTGTATTACATATTGAATTCATAATATGGTTTAAAAAAAATATATTAAAAATTACATTTAAAAATAAAACTTTATTAGATTAAAAAACGGAATTTTCTTAATTATCTAACTTAAAATAACACATTACTTGCCACTAATCTTTTAAGTACAAATTTTATATGATATAGCCCACAGCAGCACGAAACCAACTGCCAACTGCGACTTACGACCTTCAGCTGGACCACCACACACGTATGATGAGTGAAGTATGTCAAATAAGTGCATAGAACTACTGGGGTTGGAGGCGTATACATATAACGTCACAAATTGATATATAAACGAATGCAACCTCTAACACCCACGAAAAATTTCCCGAAAATGAGGAGGAGGCTCTGAAACGCCATAATACGAGGATTGACCTATTAATAAATAATTTTTGGCTTTCTCTCTGCTACCACTGAACCGATTTTTTCGTTCTTACTGATACTTTCCAAGTTATAGATGGGCCTAGGATTAACAGATACAGAGACAGAAATGAGTGATATGGTTTTTCATTATGATGAAATTTGATATAACATCCAACTAAACATAATATCGCATTCTCGAAATTGTGTGCGATTACAATACTTCCTTGCCACTAGTTGCGGCAGGTAAAAATGAGCAATACTGCATGCATTACTCACCTAATTCATTCAGATCACAAAATTGTATCAGCTTTTCATATATGCTAGGATTCCTGAAATCTTTCCTCTTCTGTATGAGTAAATTCATATCCAGATTTTGTGTCTGCATCTTCTCATATAATTTGGTGATTTTGTCTTGGAGTTCTGCAGAACAGTGACCAGGTGGTTCAGGTGGTAATGTTACACCATCTTCATCGACTGTTTCCTGTTCTTCCTGCTTTTTGTCATCTGTCATCATAATCACCTAAAACAAGAGAAATGTATCAATTAGATTCAATGGGCACTTTTGACACATTCATTTAATTTGGCGACTTTCAAATTTCCCATTTATACAAATTAGAAATCCTACAGCTTTTGCTGCTAACCGTTGCTAAGTTTCAAAATTTTTTAGCAAACTGAAAGAATTTATGACTACACCATATATTATTAAGTGGGCATAATCTCGGAACAATTCTTTAGACAAGGCCCAAAAATTATCAGACATAAAGATGGGAATGATATGTTGTTTACTTATAATTTTATTGCCACTGAATCAATTTCCAGAAGAGTACTATCTACTATGACCACACAGCATATCGACAATCTCAAATCAATACCTTGTAAGTCTGAAAATATCAATTTTCTGATTTTGTTCTGTTTTGATGTTGTATGACATAGAGGATTCAAAACAACAAAATCAGAAAAAAGGCATTTTCGGACTTACGAGGTATTGATTTGAGATATTATTATTATTATATTATGCTCCTTCAAGTTTCAGAATTGATGAAGCTGTTTTTAAAATCATGTACTTGGAAAAACAGCAAGGGGCAATCAGACCAATAGAAATATACATATGACATAGATGTAACATTTAAAAAATAGTAAATCGAAATATATATACATGTTAGATGAATTCATGGTAATGGACAGGTGAAGAGTAACTTCAGCTTGCTATCAAGTAATGAGCAGGGATGTTGAAGCTTAGTTCAGCTGCATATGACTGAAGCTTGTGGAGTATAGAGCAGTAGAAATTGAGCATCTTATAGTAGAATAGTAGCTAAGGGCTCAAAGTGATTTGGCAGCACCACTTGATACTGACAAAAAACATTTAAACAAAATATTTTATATATTAATCCTACCTTGGGATAGATTGTGATCGCTTTTGTTTATATGGTTGCAAAATAGTTAAATACTTCCAGCTAGCAGAGTGTGATACACCAGTAGTTAGTTGTATTAGATGCCTCATCAGTAGATATACCACTGATCTATTAGAATATGTATTACGACATATTTCTAATTCTTTGACTGAAGTTTGTGGAGTATAGAGCAGTAAAAAGTGAGCAATTTATGGTAGAATAGTAGCTAAGGGCTCAAAGTGATTGATTTGGCAGCACCACTGGATGCAGACAAAAAACATTTAAGCAAAATATTTTATACAACAAAAGCAGCTTGTGATCGCTTTTGTTTATCTGGTTGGAAAATAGTTAAATACTTCCAGCTAGCAGAGCATGATACACCAGTAGTTATTTGTATTAGATGCCTCAACAGTTCACTCTAGATAAACCACTGAATTATTAGAATATATGTTAATACATATTTCCAATTCTTTTAAGCATAACTTAAAGAAAAAATTTTTTTAAATTCCCATTCTTATTTTAAAAGAATCTTAGTAGTGATTGTTGGGTAACACTTTTCAAGCAACTAACTAGTTTTTTACTTTTACATAACAGAAATTACCTCATGGGGAACCTCCTCAGTCTCCCCTTCATCCGAGACAACAGTATCGTCGAGATACGACACCAAATTGGCTACCTTTGTAGTCACTTTGATTTGAGTTTGAGTATGAGCAGGGCTCGCAGGGCGAGATGATTCATTGGATTTTTCAGAATTAGAACCCATGGGAGGTGTTTTTGAGGGTTCACTTGTTTCACCAGATTCCTGTTGTTCCTCTTCGGGTTCTTCTTCTCCTTCAGAGTCAGTGTAGGTTGCTGTTAAGGAGGCCAAAGCTGAAGTCATTGTTGTGTAGGGTACAAAATAGGCTCAAATCAAAAGATATCCACTAACTGGCTAGGCTCAAATCAAAAGATATCTACTAACTGCCTTTGGGCAGCTTTTTTCGTGAAGGATCAGCAGCTATTTATTTTATTATGAAGACTGAATGCAAAGTTTGATTTGATTTTTCTGGAATTTCACAATGTTTTTGAGGTTAAGCACCATTCACCACAAAACAATACAGATTACTGATCACAAAACATATATACAGATAATCACAAAACACAATAGTGACAATACAGGACAACACCCGCACAAAACATACATTAGTAAGCGAACTGTCATAAGCGACTGGTGGTCACAGAACAATCATACTTGATGTAAAAGAATTTAACGCGACAGTGTATTTTTGTGGGGTCAACCTTGTGGTAGGCTGCCATATTCTTGGTTTATCCTGTCTGGTGCTGAATGCCGGTTCATAAAAGGCATTGGATTAATCCTTAATATGATCTACATTTTTTAAATGATAATTTTAAACTCTTGTTATTTTTAGCGGCAGAGTTATGTATACGACATTACCCTCGGACGTCTCAAATCATCAATATGCAACTGTTCTAAATATCTTTTATTTATTATATAATATCAGTGTTATAGGATCCATTACTCTATTTTGTATTCCCACATTTATTTTACAAAACATTTCGAAATAATTTCTAAAATTTTGACTACATGCTCAGTAGATGATAGTAACTTCTCAGCATGAGTTTTAATATCACATGTTCGAGCTATCCTAAATGTTGCTGCATATCCTTTTAGAGCTTCCATTGCATCCTCATCTGTTGTATCATCACCAGCAAATACAACCTTCACATTTTTTCTCCACTGTTTCCCATATTTTTGTTCAAGAAGCATTACAGCAACTTTACCCTTATTCCAATCTACTTTAGGTCTCGCTTCAATTGCCTCATGTGCTGGAACTATCTTAAAATTAGCCTCTTCCATTATTTTCCTGGCAGTTTTTGCTAGCTCTTCCTTCTTTTCTGTAGGTGCGGCTCTGTAATGATATGTCAGAGAAGGCCCTTTATTTTCAATCCATGCTCCATCTCTAACAACAGACTGCTCAAGTTTTTGTATCATTTTTTTAACATCCTCTTCGAAATTTGTGGGCAGTTGATGGTTATATCTTTTTCCATCTGGGTATATAACTTCTAACCCATGATTGCCAGCATAAGTTATAGTATCCAGACCTACCAAGTGTTTAACATTATCCACAGCTCTGCCAGAAATGATTCCTACAAATATTTGTGGTACCTGGGCAAGCTTTTGTAGAATTTCTTTAGTTTTTGGTGGGATTACTGCCAAGTCAGGATGTGCCACAAGTGGAGACAGTGTGCCATCATAGTCCAAAAGAAGTGCTAAATCCTTTGTGTTCTGCAAATATTTGGTCAAATATTCCTCGTACTCATCAAATTTCTTCTCTGTGGAGCACATTTTTAGAACTAAAACTGAATAACCTTTTGTTTGTTATATAATTCAAATAGATATATATGAAATAGTGTAGTTGTAAAAGGTTATCATTTATCAGTTTTATTATCATTACTAGTAAACAAATTTTGTAGTTTACTGATGCAATTACCATAGGTAGGTATCACTTATAGATTTCAAATTTTCTAAATTGGCTATATAAAATAATTGTGTAAATTCATTAGGTCTTGAATGGAATTATTTACGAACCAAAATGCAAAATTGTTATAATAACTTGAAACATGTGATGTAAACAAAAACATGAGGAAAAAACAATGTGATGGGATCGATACGTTTTGGGACCGAAAATATTCGAGTAATCAATCACCTTGGAACTCGGAAAGAACAGTTTATTGCCCTTTATCACTCTGTATTTATGGGCTTTCCATAGGTTCCTCTCATAGTCATGTGTTATGTTGTTCCTCCATAGATGGCACTGCGGACTATGTTTTTTGTATCATATGCATTTGCGTTGCGGTTATGTTATGTTACATTGACAGCAGTTGACAGATGTTTAAATGGAAACAGAAAAGGAATTTTTACTATTATTATAAAATTAATATCTTTCAAAAGTATGTCATGCTCTCAGTCTGATTCTGATTACATCACAAGTTATAGTGAAGATGAGAGAATAGGTGAGTTTTATATTAATGATTCATTTAGGTATTATAAAGATGTTTTTATGTATGTAGTTTTTTATACACAGGTACATTTGTGCATTTTTCGTTTTTTTCTGAGACATTCGTGGAAATATTTCAAGGTCTGTTTGGAATATTTGCATTTGCGTTTTCTCCCAGAACTTTCTCCAACAGACGACAATATAGGGTTACAGATGTACATCTGTTAGTACAGTGAGTTTAGTCATATAGGCAGAAATCAGGCGAGTATGATCCAACAAGAAATAAGTACATGCAGTGATGGATTAGTGGCGTAGCAGGAGTTGCAAATACTACTGGTCCCGCGCACGAATGCAATATGACTGTAGAAAAGTATCAGTTCAGATAGGAGCATGAAAATATCTTTTCAAATTGATACAATATATGAAAGATATGGCTAAGTTGGAAGCGGTAATGATGATAATTTGGTATAAGAATCCTGTTGCTTCGCTGCAGTAGGCTGATCAAGACCTTAACTCTGTTGATGAATCATTACATGCATATGTTCAAGCAATGAGATTCTCATTTTCAGATATTGTGACAAAAGTCAAAGCCTTGACTGGCTGTGAGGAATATCAGCAAAATACTTCAAGACAAAGCAAGCAATATACAAAGTATGATCATTTCACATTTAACAATTTTGTTGAAAATTAAATACGTGTACATTATGAAATTCAGGTGTTTATTGTCAATATTGATAACATACCAGCTGCTTTAGCTAAACCCAAATACATATCTTAAAATAATGATAGCTAAAACCTCTTTCAACAGAAGAGACATGAAAAGCTCTTAAATTATTGTTAGTGCTTATGCAGTTGATTTGGAGGGCAGCGTAGACAACAAATTGTGGCTATATAGTATTATTGATTGCAACAGGCACTGGAACTGCAAATTTTACGAGCTTTTGGTAACTAAATCTTTATAATATTGTTTTCCAAACGTAGAAAAACTGCCGTGCACACTTATTTGTCTCTCAAGATCACCAGCTGCATTGGTGAACATTCTTTCTCAATATTGAAAATGAGTGAAGGAACATAATGACCCAAAAACGTATTCTTAATCTCACATTGATGAATATTGAATATGATTTGCTTAGAGAATTCAATATGGATAGTGTTATTTCTAAATTTGCCTAAACAACCTAGAAAAGTTTGTGAGAATTTTGTTTAATTTAATACCATAAATAAATTTCAGAACCTAAAGCAAACCAAAGACCTCTTGTTATAATTTGCCACTGACCCCTTGCTGGCTAGATTGAGTAGTGAGTAGGTGGGTACTTCTCAGTATATTTGGAGTATATAAACAAAGCGTCTAAGGGCCGTATTGTCAGTCGTTCATACAATTGTAGGACGCCTTTATGACCTCCTTGATTTTCTTTGTCTTTTCTCTCCTTCAGAAAGGCTGAGGTATTTCCAGATTTCTACTGTTCCGTGTCATCGTGAACGCTCTCGTATTGTGAGGTTATATTTTCTTTTTGAATCTTAAGGTAATAAAAATCATGTTTTATTAGCCTGAAATATCTTAGAATTAAAAAAAATATATAAACTCAAAATAGAGCGCTACACGAAACAGTAGAAATCTAGAAATACTCCTGCCTTTCTGAAGGATAGCAAAAACTATGAAATTCAAGGAGGCAATAAAGGCGTGCTACAATTATTGTAGGAACGACTGACGATACAACCCCAAATCTATGACAGAACTGGTATAATTACTAGATAGTTAAGTATTGGAAGAAATTTGTAAATGAATTGTTTGACATTGGGAGGAATTTCATCATTCATATAAGCAGAGTATTTTATATTAGTTCAAAATTCCCAATATATCTTTTTTCTGGATTTTTTTTCAAAAGGGTTGTCCAATAGGGACGCAGGAAAGTAAACGTCAATTTGACATAGTCGCTATCTTTGTTTTCTGTCACCGACATGTCATTTTGTTAATTGAATGTTTACCATTGATCGCTATGGAGTCGTATTCGATTGAAGACCGCATTAAGGTTATTCAAGAGCACTACAAAAATGGTGCAAAAATAAAAAACACGTTTCGCGCGCTTCGTGAACATTTCGGTCGCAACAACCGCCCAAACGAATCAACCATCGGTCGTCTGGTGCGTAAATTCGAAGCATCAGGTTCTGTGGCAAATCTGCCAGGCTCTGGCCGGCCAAGGAGCGTTCGCACACAGGAAAATATTGCTGTTTTGAAGGAGAGTGTGAGAGGCGATCCGAAACAGTCAACAACGCGTCGATCCCAAGAATTGGGCATTTCGAGAACCAGTTTGCTCCGCATTCTCCACAAGGATTTGAATGTACACGCCTACAAGATCCAATTGACGCAAGAGCTGCGTCGGGCCGACCATTTTTCGCGCCGAACGTTCTCAGATTGGCTCCTTGAACACCGCCAAATTGATGCCTATTTTTCATCAAAAATCGAAGCGCATTTCACTTTGAATGGGACGGTAAACAAGCAAAACTGCCGCATCTGGGCGAACGAAAATTCCCGTGAGTATCAAGAGCAGCCGATGCATCCTCAAAAAGTGGCTCTGTGGTGTGCATTGTGGTCAAAAGGCATCATCGGACCTTACTTTTTCGAAAATGCGGCCGGGACGCCGTTACCGTCAATTCTGAGCGATATCACGTGATGATAGAGGACTATTTTTTGCCGCAACTTGAAGGAATGGATATGGACGATGTTTATTTCCAGCAAGACGGTGCAACATGCCACACAACCAACGTCAATATCCATCGATTGCAGTCCTTCTTCGGTGATCGCGTGATTTCGCGCAGAGGAAATGTGCCATGGCCACCAAGATCGTGCGATTTGACTCCCTTGGACTTCTTTTTAAGGGGATATTTGAAAAGCAAAGTCTACGTCAACAAACCAGCCACCTTCCAAGAACTCAAAAACAACATCATTGCCGAGATAAATGCCATAGAACTGACCATGTTGCAAAATGTCATTGAAACTTTCGACCATCGCGTGGACGTCTGTAAATCCAGTCGTGGTGAACATTTGAGCGATATTATTTTTCATACATAAATGGTATAAATGAACCTTCAAAATAAAGTACCCATTTTGATTTGAATATCAATCTTGTTTTAATATGCGTTTACTTTCCTGCGTCCGCTTTGGACAACCCCATATAATGATTACGAGAGTCATATGGAAAAAGACTGATTATTCGTGTTTTTCTGATATATTTCAAATTGCACTGTATACAGAGATATTTTATACAATGTTGTCTCAATGTATGACATGCTGCATGGTATGTATTGAACTTGCTTGGGCCCTTTTACTCAAGTTTTAGAAACCCAATAACGTATCGACTATACCGACAAGTTTATTAATTTAATGAGGGTTTACCTGATGATTATGAAATAATTAATGGGCATTATTGCAGATGTAAATCTGGCACCCAAACCCTAGGCGCACAGCGTTTTTTTATGTGCTCTCCGCGAGGTTGGAGTTTCGTAACCTTTCAAAAAGTTTACCCAAACTGTTCCATATGACGGAGGTAGGCTAATATAAAGAAATTCAAACTAATAATCGATAAATTTCGATACCCTAAAGCTATGTTCACATTACTGCGCTTTTTCTTTCTCGTTCGCCTTCAAAATCAATATGACCTTGAATTGACGGTGTAATAGTCATATTCAACGACAACTAAACAACCACTTCTTCGTGCTCTTGTGAACTGAATTATCCTCTTGAGCGATTTTTTTTAAATTCTCGAACAACTCGTACCTGATCCATTACAGTGTTAACGTATAACAAACTTTAAATTGACCTTGTAAGGATCACGTTTGAGATCTACATAACACCTATTTCCTAAAAGGTGTTTGAATAGCATAATTTCTTCAATACCGAGTATTTGGTTTGAGCACTACAATCAGCATATTCACCATTTTTGTAAAGCGGGTAAACTTCCTCCCAATATTTCTCAGAAACTAATCATAGGATTGCTTGGGTCCCATGAGAACTTTTGTTTAGGAAAGCGAGAAACATATACAGGGTGTTCCTTAATGATATGCGAATATTTAAGGGTATGAATCTACATGAAAAATGAATGTTAGTTTGCGTTATAAACTATGGTCCAAAAATGTTTTCTTACAAAAGCTCAGGGTGTTGAAGTTTTAGGAAAATAATGGAAATTAATTAATATTTTCAGAACCGCTTCAGATATTTCACTGATATTTAGTACGTAGTGAAAGTTGATAAAGTTGCATATTTTTCATTGTATATTCACACCCTTAAATATTCGCATATCATTAAGGAACACCCTGTATAATACTCAATTTTCAAACAAATCGACTGGGACCTATTTTCCGTATGTTTTGTGCGGGGTCCTTAGTACATTTTTAGCGGATTTAGTACGACATACGCCCATTGCAAATTTAGTTCTTTTTTCGGATTTTTTTTGTTAAACATATGCTTATATCCAGAAGCAAATTTTATTTTTTTTATATTTTATAAAAAAAGAACTACAATTAGAATACATTACTAGATTTCAAGTAAATCTAATAAAAGTGAATCTTTTTCAGAATTGGAGCGCCGTAGAGAACGAATTCAAGAGGAACAGTATGAGGAACGTGTGGAACAAGAAAGAGAAAAAGCATTCAGCATAATCTTTAAAGAAAAAGCCCATAAACTATTTATACTTCCAGGTTTGCATTTTTTGCGCTTTTGCAGTAAAAAGATAAAATTTTACTTCAAACCTAGCGAAGTAATGAAATGGATCAGCAAAAATACGTGTTTTTACTGCTCATTAATTTATTCGAAAAAGTGGATGTGGATGATCAAGAGAGAATCTTTTCCTTCGAATTACAAACTGAGGATATACAATACCTTTAATGATGGCCAATATTGTCTTGTGTCTGATGAAGATATTTTACCTAAGATACAACAAATTTATAGGCAGTTGCTGGTCTGGGCCTCCACCTATGAAAAAATGAAGAAGGAAAAGTATCGTGTAAGTGAAAAGTTTTGAGTCAGCTTGAAGTTTATAAACAACGTGATTGCTTTACAAACTGATACTAATTCTTCCGTTATTTATACAATTTTACAACGTCGACGTTTCCATCGATTCCTTATCCTCAATTAATAGGAAACATTCTTTTTATATTTCCACTTTGAACGATTCCATGGGAACATTAAATCAAAACGATTTATTTAATGTAGAGATAATTTTGAGATTGGGAGTGTGCAGCGGTCATTTCTTAAGTACTTGACATGGTGTTTACCCCTGTCGTGGGACTGACCAATCAGCGATGTTGGTCAGATTTGTAATGCATCCTCTTGCGCTGAGGAGAATTTTTAATAGCCTAAAATTTCTTTACAAGATCATACACAGAGAAGTAGAGACTTCAGCTTTATTAGCTAAAACTGCCATTTATCTACCATCCCGAGTTTCTTGAAGTTAACTTGAAAACACCAAACTCTAATGGCATGATTAAGTCATACATCTACTTTATGAGCTCCAGCTTTAATGCTATAGCAGATAATTGTGAGATTCATCACGATAAAATCAAAGTTATGATGGACAATTTCAGTGAACACTATTATTTAATTTATAACGTTTAAGGCATGTAGTAATTTACTCATTTTCTTTCTCAGTTTTTCAAGGAACTGGTCGGACCATTATTTTAGTTTAAAAAGCTATAATCCGTATGGCCGCACATAAAGCGATTTCAGCGAATCTGGCGAGATCGTGATTCGAGCGTTTCGAGGGGGTTTAGACAAGTCAATGAAGTTAAATGCGGCCGCCCACACAGGACGCCGTCCGATTTCAGTGTCACGCTAGACCCGCGAGACCAACATAAATCGAAAATCATCTTGTTTTTTATCGCTGTTCGGTCAACACGTTTTCGATGCAACGATTTCCTCAACATGACGATAGAAGAGATATTAGATAGCTAGCCAGCTAGATAAATATGCTTTTGTGTCTGAAAAATACAATAATTCTTAATGAATTCAGGCATGGACGCTAACACATAAAGAATGGTTAAAATCATAAGGAGAATCTCAACATACAAAAAAAAGGATTTTCTATTAAAAAAAGTTTGTTCTTGTCTTCTTCACTTTGGGTTACCATGTATATCACAAAATATTTTTTTATTCATTTTTGAGAAATTAATTTTTTCCGCTGTACCCTTCAATTGTTGATTATTTTGATACTATCAAGGAGTCACATGTAAATATTCTGGCCATTATAAATGATGCAGTCTTCAAAAGTATTCATTTAGGTACTACTAATTCAAGATCTTATTTTCGTCGAATAGCCTAACTTTTATTTGATGTCTCAAATTTAGATTTATTTAAAAAATGATTGCTGTTTCAAAAATAAACAACTCGAGGATTGCTTTTAGTTATATATCTATAGATTGTTTTTGAAGAAGAAGCACTTTTAAACAATTGTTCTTATAATAAAGGAAATCTTTTCTAGTTTTCTAGTCTACAGGATGAGTAAAATTTAATTTATGATCAATGATCACTCCTAAAAATTTGGTGGTGTCTGTTTTGTGAATCAAATCATTATTTAAATTTATATAATTAAGAGAGTATTTAAATGTTATGAATGTGGTCTTGCTAACATTGAAAGTTAAGTCATTATGATCACACCATACTCTTATTATATTATACAGTAGTGAAACTGAAAATTTGCGAATGGAGAATGGAGATGCGAAGAATAGCTTTTGAGCAATTTCTGTTTATAGAGATTTAAATGTGGCGAGGAAGTTGAACTTGACGAGGAGGACGAAGAGCTGTTCTTATCAAAAAACGAGAGACGTGAGTTGATAGAAAAACGTAACAGAATCCTCCGTAGAATGATTCCGCCAGATGGACCCAAAAGGTGGAGGGTTGGTTAAATACAGAGTGTGAAACTATGGGTAGGTCAATGGAAGCCAGGTAATAGTGCACCTCAAAACCTATCGAATTAGTCTCCGTTGGTATGTTTTAACCGAAATTTAATAACGCAGTTCTGGAAAAAATCTGATTTTGATCTTTGTAAATTCAGCCAAACTATCAGGTCTACCGCTGTGATTTTTTTCTGGAAGCAGTGCAGTGGCATCTAAATCATTTATTTGCAGCTAGCTCTTGAAAATTGAGGAGCTAACTGAACTACCCACCAATAATTGAAGCAAAATAATGGTCAAAAAGGCATACTATTATTCTATTTCAGTCGTAGACCTGATAGGCTGAATTTGCCAAGTTCAAATTCTGTTTTTTTTTCTAAAATTTCACACTACCGGCTATCCGACTATTGCCGAAATGCAATAGTCTCCTGGCATTCCGGCTAACACATACGCCGGTTGATTCAGTAGGTATTGAGGTTCTCTCTTCGTTGATCCATCCATAGCTTGACACCCTGGATATAAAAATGCACCATTCATACCTCGGATGGATCTCAGTAATGTGATTTTTTACCAGCACCTACCTTTGGTATCCTTGTATTATCATGAATTATTTATCTAATTTATTTTTATTAGTACCTATATGTAAGGTCGATTTACCTTTGCTCAGTGTTTGACTGAATCAGTATTGTGATACCTATTTGCTTTTTGATCTTTTTATATATGTATATAATATTATGTAATAAAACAGTTGTGCATTTTTATTTCTTTTTATTTTTAAGATGTATCTTACTCCCAGCACATGCTTTCTCATGGGTTTTAATTCTATCTGGAAAGAACTTTCTTCCACATTTACGGCACTCCACTAGCTCGGCCAAGTGGTTTTCCCAGATTCTGTGGAAAGTTCCCACGAAATCAACCCTTCCAGAAGCTACAAATAGAAAGAAACACGTAGTTATTCTATGTTTTATTTCCTACGCACTCTGAGTACACTATCTGACAGAAACGGCAACCTTTTGTTTCATAAATTATTTTAGCAAGAATAGAAAGTTTTTAAAGTACTTTATGGTCTGTCCTGAATAATCTGCAACTTATTCGTGGTATTTCCTGCAACCCTTTTTATTTGAATTAGATGTCAGTACCAGATGTATGCGTCATTTTTATTGGAAACGTAGGGGAATAAGTTAATGAGAAACTTGGGAAATCGACTTGTTTTATTGAAAATATATATTGAATAATTACGAACATACTTTGCATCTAACATAAATTGAAATAAACTTTATATAATGTGGAGCTTAAAACTAATTGTTTGAAATATACACTAGTATCACTTTCAGTTCATTACTTTTCACATGTTTTGAAATTAGAACTGAACATATCAGTACACTGATTGACGTTTCAAGACTTCCGTGTTTCAAATGCTCTGTGGTAGACGAGTTGGAAGTGTATTGAGACGTATGGTACAGGATGTCTTTAAAGTTAGGACTTTGCTTGGGGTATAGCGCTTGTAAAGATAAGTAAATTTGCCTTTATGTGTCTCTGAATTTAACCGGTCGTGTAGGTAAATCAACTATTTGTACTCGACTCTCATTTGAAAAAAAAAAAACGCGAATTGCACACTCCTATGGCAATAATAAACTTCTCGATATGGTGTTTTCAACATACCGTTGAGGCTTCGGGAGGATCCTCAGATCGCTTTTCGGGACTGTGCCGCGTATCTTTATTTCGTACAAAGTGCTGAAAACACAGGCCGTTTGCAAGAACGTCGAGGTGTACACAGTGAAAGGTGTACACAGCCTTGAATATGTTACAAACGTCGAGCACAACAGTATCTATCTATGAGCATCATACGGTACTTGAAATTTGTCAGATGAACGGAGAGTACTTTCTTCAAAGATTTTTCTCTCTTTTCCCTTGGTGTTCTACCGAACATAAAACGGAAAGTCGTAACCTTCTGAACACCCTGTACAGAACTTATTATATCGCTTCAATACAGCTCTTCTTTACGCTGTAGGATTATGGGACTAGTTGTTTTGTAGTTTCCTGGGAAACATGTTAATCAAGATTTTTTCGTGGAGAAGCTTCAGTGGAAGCTAATAGCTTAACAACAGCAATATTGCTGGTACTTACAATATGGTCGAGATTTCTTTTTGTTACAGAGACTGGGAACCTTTCTATTAACGGTTGATTTTTCAATTTCAAACTTATTTTTCTACCTTGTCTCATAAGTTATCCTACTATTCCAACAGACTATTTTCCGTACAATAGCTTCTATATAGGGTGTTATTTTAAGAAGATACATTGCTTCTTAAGAAAAATCCGAGATGTGATGTTTATCTAATGAACCTTATTGGAAATGTCCAAAAATATGACTGTACAATGCTGAACAATTAATAGCATGTTTTACGTTTGTTTCTGAATACGCATGTACAAGATCACCTACAAACACTGGTTATATAAGTTTGAATATATACACAGAATACAAATATTAGATCACAGTGATTTTTTTCTGAGGATTAGAAGTTATTTCAAATTCCTTTGCAGCTTCTTTCGTGTATTTCCACCCTATCCGGGTTGAATGTTCGCTTACAGTTCCTGCAAGGTATGAGATGGCTGAGATGACTTTGCCAGTGGGCTTCTGTGGTAGCTTCATAGTCGATTTTACCATCCCCTGTAAGAGTATGCTAAACTTGTACTTTCGGTGTTCGGTAGGGTGGACTTCACAATTCGCAACACATAAAGAAGCATTGAGAGGGACATTAGACTTGATTACACACAAAAACAAACAGAAATTTCTACAATATTCATCTACTAGTCAGATCCCAGGGAAGCCAGTCGTACCTATTTTCTGAATGTATGTACTTTCTACGGCTGCATACCTGCAAAGTTGGGTAGGTGGCCGATTTACAGATGTCAGGTAACAGGTGAGGATAATGGGTAGGAATAGGATTAACTTGACTGAAATTCTAATAGTGAGTTTTAATATGCGGTGAGATTCAAATTTGGCTGACGTCGTAATGTGTACGAGAGAGAAGTGCGAGAGCAGTGCAAAATATATGATAGAAAGAGTGCGCGGGTTGCTAGGCAACCAAGTGCTTCTATCTCTTTTTAACACACGTATTGGACGCTTCTCGCGTATCTCTCTCATACACATTACGTCGTCAGTGGTATGTGGATTTGACTATATAATAATTGTAGACTTTGATGTTGAGTCATTAATTTTCAGATATAGATTGTAGAATGAAGATAAACCAAAATATGTGTGTAAAAATAAAAAAAAAATTATAAAACAAATTTTACCTTGTTTTATAAAGTATCCTCCCGACAAGTATTTCAGTGCGGACCTGTATTTGATCGTGAGGTCTTGGAGCATCGGCATGCCGTCACCTGATTCACGAGCCCGTTGTACTACATTAACAAAGGCACGAGGGGTTTGTTGCACTCGATTGGGAAACCGATCCGCATAAACATGTGCCATTTTTTATTTCGTTTGAGCCACGCAACAGACACCACTATTCACTGACACTGACTGTATACAAATGAATAAAATAATTGTAAAAACATCGTTCCAAATTCTTTCGCTTTTTTGTTTCCGATGCGATGAACCGATACGGCAGATTATATCCGTTGTCGCCAAACACGAGCACATAATATTATTATTGAGACAGGGCGGTACTCAAACTTCCAAAGGGCCATAACTTTGTTACTTTAATTTTACCAGAAAAATGGTAAAGGAAAAAAACATTTCTTTTGATCAGATCTACTCACTGTTAAAATAAATGACTCAACTTCGAAGTCACCCTGTATATTAAAAAAAATACAAAGTGGTATTCAGCACTGTTAGACACTTCTCACTAGCCATAACTTCCGCCTCAAGCTTTAGAACTTTAGTCAGGATGTTCTGCCGTAAATTGAGCTCCCTCTTTTTGTTGTTCGTTTATAAAAAAAATATACATATATATACAAGTTATGGGGCCTGATACAAAGATTTTCATGTAGTGTCTTTTTTTATATAGAATATCTCAGAAAAGTGAAATCGATTTTTTGTTAAACGAAACACCCTTTATGTTTTCAAATTCCAAATATATGTGGTTTGTCATTTTGTTTTTATTGCTTTAGTAAAAAGCAATTTTATGTCATTTAATGATATATATCGGAATAAAACCAAAATATAAATTAGTGTAACAAATGAAAAACATGGCACCATAATTTTTACTGAAGTTTCATTGAAGAATATACCTTTCTGAGATAAATTGCATGAAAAGCTGAACGTTAGAATGTATAAAATTAGTATGAAACTTTTTCTTCTAACTCAAAAATTTTACCGAGACACCCTGTTTAGAGCTTTGAAGTACCTGGAGGAACTCATGACCATTGGGTAATATCTGGTCTGGATATTACAAAGTTTATTGTATAAAAATCAGGCTTTAGGATCCGAATTAAGTTATTCTACCTGAAAATAACCACCCAGTTGGGTATTTCTGTGTCCAAAAAAAATATCCAAGAAAATATATATCCTGGCGTCATCTATGAGATTTTGTTACAGATATGTTTCTATTGTCCAAAATAATTAGAAATTTACTTTGAAAATTTTAGTGTCCCATAGATGGCGCTGTTGCCAACTATATGCTCATACAATGCTTTTCAAAATGCCCCCTGCTTATTTTTTCAACAGGTCAAGTTAGAAAGCGGAATTTCGGGATAATTGGATTGATGCTTGAATAATACATTATAGCGTAAAAGTGGCAGCCTGGAAATTTCAAGACGAGATATTATGTCAATGATTTCCGTCGGTCTGTCTGTCTGGCTGTCGGTCTGTCCGATAATCTTATAACCACCTATAACTTGAGAAGTCTCGGATTTCGGATGAATTTTTGCTATTTACTACTACGCCAAGGGCCCAAAAGCTTTGTAGTTGTTGAAAATTCCTCCAGTGTGTATGCCGCAGAACATCATAGCGTGTTCCAGGCTCTGGCCGCGTTATCGGGGCCACGTCTGCTGGAGTTAGGTATCGAGGAGAGGCGACGATTCCAGATGCACTACCGGTAGGGCAGGGAAAGGATATCTATGGACTAATTCTATGGACCTTTTAGATTGACTTTTTTCTCAGAAAGTCTAGTTTGTGATGAACATATCCCAATATTTGCTGAGAAGGGCGTTGCGTGGGAAGTGCAGAGTCAACCTACTTGACGCCATTTTTAAACTGGAATACGGGTCATGACCTACCTTATTTTGAAGCTCCTTACGAGTACTTTATAATCCTGGAATATGAAATCACTATGCTTCAAAATGGCATTATGTTACATCATTTTTCTTTTCTTGGAAGAATATATCCTAATATGTAATTCCGTTTGGATAATTGTCAAAATCTGCCAATTCTTTTCAACTAAATGACGGGCCATCCGCCATCTTGAAACTTCCTACTGTTATTTTTATGTTAATTTTTGTACTTATTCATCAATTTGATCACCCCGAATTTAAGTTCGCTAACTTGACCCATTCAAAAAATAAAGAGGGGGACTTTCTGAAAAGCACTGTCTATATGTTCGTATAGCGTATCTATGGGACACTAACCACTTGAAAGTAGATTTTTAATTATTGCGTGGAGGAGAAGCATAGCTGGGACAAATTCTTATAGATAATGCCAGGATATCACGTTTCACTTAGGCTAATTTTTGGACAGTATATGTTTGGCTATCGTCATTAATCAAAGCTGTAAATTACCAGTCTACCCAGCTTAGCAGCTATGCAGGCGTTGAACATACGTATAAGCACTACTGAATGCCCCACTGGGATCTTGGACTATCAAGAAGCCGTTTGTGCAACAACATAAATAGTGCTTATTAATATATTTTTCTAACAATAGTATCGAATCCTTCGTAAGAAACAATTGGATGAGAAGAATATGTACTTATTTTTGGAGTTTTTAAAGATTAAATAGCAGATCAGTCTGAATCATAGCATAGATGGAGCACCGATATGGACCAACAGAAAATCCATAGCCGTAGAAAAATATATTATCGACTTTTAATGTGTTCGAAAATGAATGAAAGGACCACTCAGTATTTGTATCAGTTTGACATAAATATATTGAAAATTTTAGCTACAAGAAATCATAGGCATTATTGATATACCTAAGTAAAACACGAGAGACGTCCGATGTAGAAATGTTTGATACCTAAACGGTTTTGATCACGCACTAGAGTTAACAGAAAGCTGAAACATTTCGAAAACCGGTGCGTGGGATTTTTTTAATATTTTGGCCATAAAATTATTAGTTCACCAAAAGCTGAGCGGTACTTTCCAAGTTCCAAATGTGCAATGTGATTTTTCGTGATGTACAAAATAAATCATGAGCTCCGTGAATATTGCGAAGCAGGAAAATATGTTTCGATGTGGAATTCAAAGTTCGGGCTAGTACGAAACTCTAATTATTCTAATTTTAATTGATTGTCACCACCCACCACTCTAATTCGGTTGCGAGACCTAGACCTTTACCTTTTACAACACAAAAATGCATTTTTTATAATTTCCAATCTGATGGCTGGGTATGCTTTCGGAGACAAAGAGTTCAACGAACTTTATTGATTTATTTTCATGATTATCATCACGTGCACGGTCTGACATTTCATAACAAAACGCAATTAGGGTTTTTCGCGGACTTGGAAATTACTGTCGTTGCTTTGATTTTCGTGCAGCATTACATAAAGTACATAATACTACACTGGGTGTTGAGAATATCTGCTTTTATTGAATGAGAGTCCTTTTCTAGATATTCTGATTCCTAGTTTTGATGAGATTAAAACTTTTCATAATTCGCCAGATTCACTCATCTCTTCCAAACTACTTGAATTCCGTGTTGCGGAAGCAGACACCTAATGTTTTGTATACTGCTTAATATGGAAAACCGCTGTCACACAACCAAATATTCAAAAATAAAGGCCTTTATTTGGTTTGCCAAATCATGTAGGTCCAGATTTTCATGAAGTTCGTAATGTCTCTCTGTTCCCGATGAAAAATAAATGAAGCATTTGATTTGATTCCTAATTTTTGATAACCATTGGTTTGCTATTCTAATTATTATGTCAAGAATGCATCAACGCTATAGGTATTTAGTTGCTGTTTCAGCTCTGTTGAAACTAAAAATATTTCATTCCGTTGTTTTACTTTATGAATTTGTAAACTTTCTTCAAATGAACTATGAACTATACTAAGTGACATATAAATCCGAACACCCAGTTTAAATGGTTTTATTTTAATAAAATTTTGTATAAGTACTTAATGAAGCATAATAAGTAAATGATAAAAATTTCAAAATGATTGCACTGCTTGAAAGCCCTTTGACCTTTACTAATGTGTGGATGCACCCTGATGTGCTACGCATTCTCAAACGCGCCTAGGCATGCTTCTGATCAGGTGGTCAATGTCCTCCTGTGGTATCTCATTCCAGGCAACCACCAACTCCTCTCGAAGTGCTTCTAGAGTCTGAGGAGGACGTTGCAAATTGAGCAATCTCCTACCCATCATATCCCACACGTGCTCAATTGGGGATAAGTCGGGAGATCTTGGTGGCCATGGTAACAATGTGACATCATTATGTTGAAAGAAGTCTATTGTGACTCTTGCAACATGTGGTCGGGCATTATCTTGTTGGAAAGTTGGATCTGCCAGGGTGTCAAGATAGGGTAAAAGATGGGGTTCTAGAACTTCGAGGATATAACGCTGCGCGTTCATGTTACCTCTGATGAAGATTAAAAGTGACCTGGAACCATAAGCTATAGCACCCCAAACCATAACTCCAACAGTGTGATGAACATGTCTTTCAACAAAAAACTGTGGATTCCTCCTTTCACCACGTCGCCTTCTAACCCTGGCACGACCATCGTGCATGCCTAAACAAAATCGAGACTCGTCACTAAAGACAATACTGTTCCATTCCTGATCCCAGAGTGACCGTTGTCTGCACCACTCAAGGCGATTACGTCGGTGTTCTCGAATTAAAGGGAATGATAAATTCATTCACCAACTTTTATTAAAATAAAACCATTTAAACTGGGTGTTCGGATTTATATGTCACTTAGTATATGAAAGTAGTATAAGAAGAAGACATGTACACTTTTAGTCGAGATATTCTGAACTAATTGACTTTGTTCTCCATAAAATTATATTTATAATTGTTATATGTGTGTATCTTTTCCATTTTTGAAAAAAGTTTCATGGCAATACTTACGTGTAAACTTGATATCAGGCTTGAGAGGTTCAGGTTTTCGCTTGGTGGGTGGTAATTTTTCGTTTTCGATCTTCCACATTTTCAAACATTGGGGTTCGTGGATGTAGATGGAATTAACGGTAAAGAGTCTTCCACAGATATAGCATGGAAACATAGGAGGTTTCTTAGATGAAGCAGGTCTATCTTCAGAATTTTTTTTGACTTCCACAGTCTCTTTTTTGGGTGATACAGGTGACGTCTTTTCTAAAAAGTTTTATCGTGTCTATTAGGCAGTGGAGAAAATGGGCGCTTACTGAAAAGCAGCAAACACCACTAAGTAAACCATTAAAGATAAGGTGTTTTGTTGTTTTTGTTGAGAACTAATTAAGCTACAGTTTCCGAATAGACTAGTTTCTAAGAACTCTAAGTTCACAATAACATCTGAGGAATCCGAATTCAGCCCAAAGATTTCGATTTTTTTTATAGGTATATTCTCTACTGTAAAATGATGGCATACCTAGGTATTTGCTCTTCGGAAGCATATGTGTTTTACAATCGCAAAATATTGCCTTTCTCGTACCTTTTTTGACAGGAGGTGGACTTCTCATGTCTACCGGAAGAGAATCGTTTTCAATATGCCATTTCTTCAAGCACTGTTTCTCGTGAATTTTGATAGAATGGCTGCCGAACTTCTTGCCACATATATAACATTCGAAGGTAGGGGGAACCTTGGGAGTCGTTGGGGTAGATGACGTGCTATCCACAACTCGGGAAGATGTCGCATCAGTCGATGGAATGTTTTTCATCTAAAAGTAAATATACAGTGGTTAAAAATTATGGGCGCATATTTCCTGTAGGAAATGGACTCCTCGTAGATTTTTGAGTAGTTTTTGTGTGGACGACCATCATTATCAAATAAACATTTGAATTACAACCACAGGCCGCAGAATTGGGTTATAAGCCAAGGAACTAAAAAGAAGCAATTTTGCAAAATCATTATCAGAAACAACCTGCGCCTTCAAAGAGTGTCCATTGTTTACGTACTATCTAGTTTATTTAATGGTGCTTGGTAGCGACACTAACGCTTAAGGGCTCAAGTGCATATTTCATAAAAGTATTGTTTTCTCAATTCCTTGTTTGTATTTACCTAGTTCGTTACTTTGGATAAACGATGAATCTTGAAAGTGTAGCGAACTGTAGAGAATCAAATTTCACTTATTGACTAAAACATCTAATATGAGACCTATCCCAAAATACATTTTGCGTAGATGAATCACTCTGACTATATGGTAAAGTCATTTTTTAAAATAGAGACTAATAACACATATTTGATAATCATATCTTACGGTAATCTGTGGAACCTTGCAACTTCTTTCGTGGACAATCAAGCGCTCTGGATAGAAGGTTCTGCCACAGTTGTGACATGGCATCAGCGTAGACTGCAAAGTAAGAAATGCTACATAAATATATGTTGTTTACAGTTTTACTGTGGTTTCATGGAGATAAACAAATTTGAGATAACTTTAGAAAATTAAACCAGACGACACTGTCATTCAGTTTGACATTACTTATCACTAAATTAATTCGATCATAAATTATATTTCTCTTTATTTTGTTTTGCCTACTATTCTGACGGCTCCGTCAAATAGTTAAAGTATCAAATTATAAGGGGATTTTAATCCCTTAAATTATCTCTGATTTTTTTGAGTATTTAGCCTCATCAAGCCAAAGTAATCTTTTTAGCTCATGTCGCTCACTACCGATGGTCTGTCTGTGTAAAATTTTAAAACAAGGTCACTAGTATGCCAAGGATGAAAAAGCTTTATAGTTTTTGAAAACTGTCCAGTTGCAGCGAAGATAGGGGAAAAAACATGGAAAAAATAAGAATCGCTCAACCCGCGTTTTTTTACCACAAAAAATAAAATAAAAATATTCGTAGGGGTTGAAATTTGGGGATTGGGGGTTGTAGGAGGGTGTATGAAAATTGTTTGATGGTACACTGCCAACGCTGGTAATTCAATGCACCTATTAACCACATTTCACGCATCATAGATTTCTCCGTACATTTGCCTTTAAAACAGAATGAGAGAAATGTTTCCACTCGCGTACTCCTGCTATAAAAGTTCACTCCTCGGCGTACCGGTTTGGCTGACTAATCTAAATGAACTGCAGCCCACCTACAGCCAGTGTTGCCGAACCGAAAAAGAAGAAATCGGTAGATAGTATCGTTAAAGTTCGGTAGATTCAAAGTCAAAATCGGAAGGAGGAAAAAATCAAGGCCTTTACAAGATCAGCGATGGTTTAAGGGACTTGCTGCAAAAAATTGTATTTTTGTATTGTGCACGTTTTTTTGAGGGCATCCTGAAAAGTTCTTTATTACAACTTGTACAATGAGCATAGTGACCGCTCTTCAAATTCCTTTGCAATCATCATTCACCACTGAACTTGAATTAAAAGTACAATTTAGTTTGCTCTGGTCCGGTGATGCGACAATGATGGTGATCTACCAATACTGGGAAAGCGGAATAAGGGATGTGTATACATAATTATAGGCAATCCAAATCTACGTCCCACGTGTGCCCGACTGCCTAAGCGTACGCTTATGTATGACTGGTATGGGGCATAAAACTACATATACTAGATAGAATACTTTTTATTTTAGGTTCAAGCTGTTTTTCGGAAAAAAATGTAAAAATATCTGAATTATTTAAAAAAATCGTGGAAAATGAGGACGTTTCCGGTATTTTGGTAAAGGTTTCATTTCTGTACAACGACAGATAAATCGTTAGGTTTGGCGACACTTCCTGCAACGCACCAAACATATACATGGAATGAACGATAACTCGCTTCAGCGGTGCCGCAGTGGGCGCTGCTGCGCAGATGTGGGCAGGGATAACGTAGCCAGATGGACAGTAAGGCCCGGTGGGGCAGGAAAAGAATCTCTATGGACCAATTGTATGGGTCCGTTTGACTGACGTTTAATTTCTCTGTTGCACATGTTCGTAACTGACTTTTTTCTCAGATGATTTTAATTACGCTGAGCTTAATCTTCCATGAATTGATGACGGCGTTGCGCAGGAAGTGCAGAGTCAACCTACTTGACGCTACGTTCTGATATCATTCATTAATAATCGCAAAAACATGCGTGTGCGTAGCCCTTAAGGTCAGGTTGAACAATTTTCTCATCACCCTAAAGTGATTTTTGTGGGGTTACAATGGTAGTGAGGATTTTATATCGATTTCTGCCTGTTGGAATAAAGGAAACATAGATTGGAGGGCGATAGCGCAGTAACATATAATAGCCAGAGCTTTCAGACAGCTGGTCAAGGTGACTAGAGCTATTATAAAAAAATATCGCATGCGCTTTATCTTTTATGGGTGTACTTCTATGTGGAGTATAAACTGTAATTAAGAAATTGTGATTAATATGCAGTTGTTTTGTGGTTTAGTTGGTGATCTCAAGTTTTAATAATAATACCGCGATAAAGCCTAAACATCGGAGTACAATGACTGCTATTTAGACTCATTCGTAACGAATACGCCAAAACGGAATCCTAGATTAACTCTTCTTGAGCCAGCCATTTGACTGTGCAATAAGATATTGAAATGCAGATATCTCAAAAAAATGTTGCTTAAATAAATGTAGCGTATCTTTTTCACTTAAAAATTATCACTCTAACTATAAAAAATAATGGAACGGTATAAGTAAGAAAAGTGATGGTACGCAAATACATTTAAAAAAAATCCTGATTGCAGTAACTGAAAATACACGACAGGAGAAATCTAGAGACAGTTCATATGTCATGTCAAAATCCATCAAGCCGTTCAAGATGTAACCCATGAAATAGGGATGGCAAGGCTTTTTCATTAATTTCTGATTTTGTTTTCATAAAATTTTACTCTCACTGTCAGGGTGTTTTTTACTGTAGCCTGTGATATAAGAATTTCAAGGTTGATATTAATTATTAAAACCGTCATTTTGTTTTATAGAACTTCAATATAGCCATTGTTACTCTTACTGCTAAGATGAATCCAACGTCACCTCATATATGTCGAAATCCATCAACACATTTGGTCTGCAGCCCGTGAAATAGAATTTGTTTGATACATACATACAACGTGTCCCAGAAATAACACGCCAAAGTGACACGGGAGGTAGATTGACTTCAGATCAATCAGATAAAATCAACATGACCTTAGTAAAAGTTTTCTAGTTTTCGAGATATTGCCACTTTTGGGTTTTTCAAAATGTTGTGGCTATTAAGAGCTCCTAAGTTTTTCACTAGGCTACCATTAATAGTTGGCTGAGAGAACCGAGTATTCATTTCATTGAAAACTAGTACGGTATGCTAAGAAAAAAATTATACATTTTGTTTCAATGTGAAAACCTTTAATAAAGTTCGACTAATTACTGTGAAAAATTGTACCAGACTGAATCGGCAAATGATCTTATAAACTAGCCTATTTAATGCACTTTTAAAAAATAACATTTTGTAGATTCTTTCTACTAAAAATTGAATAATTCCAAGTTTTGTCATTGAAATCGTAATACGTGTAGCCGTGTTTTGTATCCAAATCACTAAGTAATGAAATGACCTAAACATGTCATTGACTATCTCGCTCTCACATTCATTGTTCGGTCGGTAGCATTATGTCACCTCGAGCAACAGAGGTGGTACCTGCGGACCGCACGCGCAGGGTTAATCTAGTACTGCTCCTTGTGTTAGTGCTACAAACGTGTTATTTAGTTCTTTCGCTGTTTTTGTCGTTTCATTCCTTAGTGATTTGGATACAAACGACTGCTGCACCTATTTTTTATTTGTAGTATTTCGCAAGTATCTCGTCTTCAATGACAAAACTACTTGGAATTATTCAATTTTTAGTAGAAAGAATCTACAAATGTTATTCTGTTTTTAAAAGAGCACTAAATAGGCTAGTTTTCAAGATCATTTGCCGATTCAGTCTGGTATATTTTCTTCACAGTAATCAGTCACACTTCAGTAAACGTTTTCACATTGAAACAAAATGTATTTATTTTTTTAGCATATCGTGTTAGTTTTCAATAAAATTAACTCTCGGTTGTCTGAATCAACTATTAATGATAGCCTAGGAAAAAACTCATAAGTTAGAAGTTCTTAATAGCCATAAAAGGCAAAAAATGGACCAAAACGCAGTGATTATTTGAAAATACCTAAAAGTGGCAATATTTCGAAAGCTAGAAAGCTTTTACTAAGGTCATGTTGATTTCATCTGATTGATCTGAAGCCAATCTACCTCTCTAGTCACTCTGGCGTGTTATTTCTGGGACACCCTGTATATACCTACGCGTGAAAAACATTCCTCCTTCGGAGGCAGTCGGATAAAAATAGCGAGCTGTAACTAGCATCATCTACTTATCATATTAAGAAAATACAATACAATCGTATTTCTCATCTGCTGAAACCTTCGATTCCGAATTTTCATGCTGACATCACAAAACGGTCATGTTATAGAGAAAACGATTTTGAAATTGAAACCTCAATATCCTGTATATTATCAATGGGAGTGTGAATATTCGGCACAATATCATTCTATTGATTTTAGTCCGGGATGTATAATCCCATTCGATCGGAAAATATTTGCATTCGTTTTTTTTCGCTCAGGGTAAAGGTTTATTAAAGCTTTTTGAGTCGTTCTAGACCTAAAGGGTCCTTATGGATTTTTCTCTACAGTTTTTGAGGTATAAGAGAATATTTGGAAAAGTGCGAAATATCATTTTCTACCCCCAAAAAAAAAAAACAGAATGGAAAAACAACAATGTTAAGGTTGGCAAACTTCCTAAATATTTTTGACCGTTAATAAAATCGCAAAGCATTATAGGGGTGTTGTTATTGTCAACCTTTGTATTTTAATTGCTATTCGAACGCACGCTCTATGCATATTCTGTGTGAAATTACTTTGGTATTTTATTAATGGATATTCTAAGACTATTTAGGATATTTTAACGTTTTCATACTATCTTTTTGGGGTCTAAAATACCGTACTTTGCATTCATTCAAATAACACAAAATTTCAACTTTGTCTTGAGAATCTTTATGTCCAGAATGACGCAAAGAACCTAAAAAACTGTATAGGAGCAAAACACATTTTTTGTAATTTCAGAAAAATCGTCCAAACAAGTTTTGATGCGATTTGTGGCCTGACATCACGCGTATACGTTATAAAAGGGGCTTCTGGGATAAGATTATGCAAACAAACCGGATCAGAATATTTTTCCGAATGGATGCCTAGATACCTCCTGGACTATCTATTATATGATATAATAGATATGCTCACATGACGCATTATTTACGAACAACTCTGTGTGGTAGTCAAGTTAAACAAAGTGGTTGTTCCAGTTAGCTACCGATGTGCTACTCAGATGGAATGAGAAGCAGCAGTTTAAGAAGTCTAATATAAGTCGTTTCAAGTTCTTCAACACTCACAAATTGATAGTTTTAAGTGGCTGCGAACTGCCTTGTTTGTCCATTTGAACAAAAACGATTTCTTGTTCTCTGACAGAATCAAAGAAAGCTGAATGATAAAGGACTGTTTAGAGAAACAGCATCAAGTCTCCAATAATTTTGGCTCCTGCAAGTTTGTATGTAAACATCGTCCGCACTTAAAGATCAAGGTTAAGGGTAAAAAGAGAGGTTTTGCTGATTATTGAGGTCTCTCTGGTACTAAAAATATCAAAATTAATGTTTAATGTTAATTACATATCCAAATAATCGATAAATCGATTACCCTCAAAAATTAGCGTCGCTCGCCCTATACTTTCAAGTAAATGAATATTTTTAGAGGTAAAGACGCAGGAGCTACAGGACATTATAACGATTACATAATGTACAAAAAACGTAACTCATATCACAAATGGTGGATAAAATGAGCTCTAAACAATCTTTTTGACCGATTGATCATGTCATCCCCTTCAATCGGGCAATCACGGGCAACATTCGTTAGTCATTATTTTCAGGAACATTGAAAAACTTGGAAAAGGTGACCCTTTACATTTGCTATGTAGTGATCCAGTTATGGAAATTATAGGAAAATAAAGTTATTTTTGTAGTATGAACGCAAAATGCTACTTTGGTGCAGGAGAAGTAAATTTGAGCCAATATTACGAGAGAGCCGCAAGTTGTAGTTTTTCTATAACCACAGCAATTTAACTTTTCCATTATAATAGTTGTAAAATTGATAAGAAGCCATGCAATCGTATGATTACATGATAATAGTATGATGGGTTCCCAAATTCTGGCAACACGGACCGCAAGAATCAGCCAGCGTTTATGCTACTCTGCTGCTGTAGAGCAGCAAACCTGTCATTTGGCAGTGGTGCTTGGAAGGCTTCCAACTACATCTAACTGCGAGCAATAACACTTTTTCAGTCGATTGTTGAAAACATGTTTCTATTCAGTACTCGACTGGAATTATTCAAAATCCTACGAATTTCAATAGGGAACACTTTGTAATCGACATGTAATTTCCTGATCTGGAAAAGTTACATCTGATGATGTAAGCATATATGATGATATGGTTGTAAAGCGCCGTATACTATATTTGGAATTATGAGAACCACAATTGATTTCCCATTATCTCCGATTTTACCGTGAATTTTTTATGAAGCAACCCCAACATTGTTGGTTGAACTTCGTTTATTCTTATCGATTTTTCTGTTTGAATGTCTTTTTGCACTTTTATTGGATGAAGTCTGTTATTAACTGCACGTATTATTAATGCTACGCTATTTTGTTTACAATTTGGTCGAATGGAACTTTTCGTGGTAAAATGGATCGAATTCTTTGGCGTCAGAATATAGGGTGCATCACACAATCGCATCAAACATTTTGCTTTTCGAAATATTAATTAAACAAAGCACAAAGCTTCATTGTTATATTCTTTAAGTACAAGAATGATCTGATCTTCCATTAATTTTTTTTGAAATAATTAAATATATCTACAGGGTTACTAGTAATTCACCGTGCGCCTTCCAGGGTGTGATAGAAGACATAAAATGTAACAAACTCCACCATATACCGGATGTTTCAAATTAAACTCTCACCATTGCACTGGGATCTCGGAAACGGTTAAGGATACAAAGTCGGTTAAACGGGGGCAAAGTTGCGCATTTAGGTAACTAAGAAAATGTCATTTAGAAAGTGTTTTCGGAGATAGATGGAGAAAACTAAATTCGTTTTTATTTTTCCTGACTTTGTTTCAGGTGGGATTTCAAAATAAATTGCACAATGCACCTTGATATTGATATTTTTTCTCATCTACATGGTGGCATAATTAAAATTTCAATTTGATCTTCCGTATCTTGTCTTCAATAATGAACTTTATTTTTTATTACGAACGCCATATTGGATTTTTTGATTCTAAAGCTATAATATGAACCTATATAACCTAATGTTTTTATAGATGGCCTTGAAAATCACATGTTCATCTAATTAAATCACCAATGAGATTTTGAAAAACGTGCTCAGAGGACATCCAAATATTTTGGCACGATGACACCCTAGCAAAAAATGTGTTCATAGTCTCGATACTTTTATTTACTTTAAAATATTTCTATCTGCTACATAAAATAATACTGTCTTCAATGTTCTCAATATATCAAGGGCGGATTTAGGAATCTGTCCAAGGGGGAGGCAGCAGTGGCCGCAAGGAAGATGTTCCCCTCAAGCCAGGAGGATTAACGACGATTAAAAATTGAAGAGCGGGGGGATGGGGTGGAATCTGCATGCTATAGCAGCGCTTTTGAGAGCAAATGCCCTTGTGACAATTGAAGAACGGCGGGTTAGAGGTACGTCTAAATGGGAGCCACGTCTCGCGATTCCTGAATCTTGCGACCTGTACAGCAGGGACCATTAAAATCGGACATAGGGTCCATTCACCTATGCATAGGTCATAAAAACTGAAGGAATGTTCGGGTGATATTGTGAAACAGACAAGTATATGATAATTTCAAGGTACACTTAGGAAATTGTTTTTTTGAAATAAAGTTTGGTAACGTCAATGTATGAAATACTACAAGTACAAATTAAAGATGACTTTGAAAAGGGCAGCGCGGCCAGTGAAGAATTCAGTCAATGTTCAAATTGCTATAGTATGTTATATCAATATCCTTCTTTGAAAGGATCTACCCAAATATGAAACAGAAATGTAAAATTTTTCTAGACTGCCCGCCATTTTGGAAAGAAGTAAATTTTTATTCAAGGGTTATAAAGCACCAGTGAGGAGGTTCAAAATGGAGGAATCACGTATCACCCGCAGGTGAAGAAAGACTTCGAGATACAGGAAGTGTTCAGCCCACTAATATTCGCACTCGTGAAAGACGGTTACTGTAGAGCAGGAGGAACAAATTTTACATATCGTGGAAATCAATGCAGATATCAGCACTCGGGAATTAGGCCGCCGCGTAGGACTATCACTACCATGTACAACGAGTGCAGGCCTTGTTACCAGAAGGTTATCCTCGCAGACTAACATTCTGTCACTGGTTTTTGCACAAAAACATTGTAAATCCGGATTTTTTTTAAAAACATTCTAGCGACGGAGGACGACATTTTGAACACCTTCTTTAAATACCTACAAAAAAGTGCAGTGTGGGTTTTAAAAAGAAAAACAATGTATGTATCAAAATTGTGTTCCCTATTTATAAGTGGATTTTTTTAATACGTTCAATAAACATAATAAACATTCACACACCAGGTGAAGCGCTGAGACAGTTAGTGGTAAGTCCGTTTTTTTAATTGTTTGCATTTTACGAGTACATTATCAAATGATGAAATAATACCTAAGAGCCAAAAATAACAAACTCCATCTTTATTTACACTGCGTTCCGTCGTAATTTGCGTCTGGCATAGCGGCGTTGTCAGATTTTATTTTACTTTAAAGTCGCTTTTCTCTAAAAAATGCCATTTTGACCCCCATGTTATATGAAACTTTTTGCTTATTTTAACCCCCTCTATCACCCATTTAAATAATGACTATCATAACGTTTACACCCTGTTTATTACAAACACCTGTGTACAAATAATTTACTAATTACTATTTGTGTTTACCTGAGAGGACTCCCAGGCTAGTTTATTCCATTCGTCTTTACTAATGTTTGGATTTGGCTTTGGTGGACCTTTTCTTCGAAGATGTGCCGGTAAACTGGCATTTTCTCTTTCCCATTTCTGAAACAATAGATGTGTATTCGTGACATTAAAGAAATTAACCATTCATAACCAGTACACAAATGCATGTACAGTGTATACACTTTTGCACCCCCTCAAAACAAATATCGGCGCGTGGCGATCAAATTCGCACATTGGCTAGCGGGTCATAAATGCCTACGCGTGGCAGCGACATGCGAATAGAAGCAGCGTTGTTTTTTTTACGTGGAGTAAATGAGGCTTGAATGGAGTACATATATGCAAAACACCAGTAAGGATCCTTACTAGTATATAAGCTGAGTTTGAATGTTTAAATGTATTTTTTCTATTCACAATTGTCGGAAAAGGGTTGAAATTTCGTAGTCATTAAAAAATACGTAGTAATTTTTTACAGAGACAGTGACGCGTGCGACTATGCCCAAATAAGCTATAGTTGTAGATACCGCTCTTGGCGGTTAGGTCATCAACGCCATATGAAATAAGTAAACAGATCGAGTCTCCGTAGCATGGGCGGATCTTAATTTTCCTAACTGAGGGAAAGCGATTCAAAATTATTTACTAATCGTGATTCTCAAAAATCTTCTAATCTAGTAAATAAACATGGGCATCACTTACATCATCTGACCTGCATTTTTTGATTTTGTGAGTTTCCAAAAGTGTTACTATGGGCAAACTTTTCTTATTTTATGATTATATTCGCTGAACACTGCGCAGAGTAATCTTCAGCGCATTTGCTACTATCTCCAGTACGCATGAAGTGGGTAACAGGGGACCACTGTTTTCAATCTCTTCCTGGAAATACTCTAATAAATTTAGCACGAGCTGTCGGCTTTCTCCATTGATCGTATTTGCATTGTACAATTTTATATTGAAGATTGCAAATTGCACGCCGATGTCAAGTAAGGAAGTAAGGTGTCACTCTGACAAATATGATACGTAACGACAAAGTTTTCGAGACGGAGACACACAACTAAAGAACGTATGTCTTTGAGCTCACCGAATAAACGTTCACACACAGGGGTAGGTTGCAAGTATATGTATGAGGGAGATGGAGATATATAAAGGGATACTGCTAGTCTTACTTTGACCCGCCAAGAACGGTGACTACAACTATATCAGACTGTCTTTTGCTTGGCGCTGTAAACGGCGGTGAACGTGATCCACAGTAGCCGATCGCTTATGTGTCGGAGGCTGAAAATTGTACTGGGGAGTTTGCTTGAGGGGTTACCAAATCTGTGGTTTAAATTTTAGTCAGGAAACAATTTTTAAGAGTCTCACATGTGTTGTCGTCGCGAAATGATTTAAAAAATTGGATACATTTGTCCTTAATATGAAATTACGCAATTAGTTCCTATTTCCCACATTACTACCACAACGAGTATAACAATGGCTTTTAATCTAAATCGATGAAAGCCGCATAATTTTGTTAACCCTAGCGTGTGTACCGATATAAAATCTCACAGCTAAACGACTAACCCTAGCGATAGAATTCATTTTAATGATCGGTAAATTATCTTGGTGAGATGTATGAAAATTTCACCTACTTTTGCGCTGACCCAAATTTCCATATTCGCTGTAGGTGCAAGTACTTAGCTGCCGCATTTTAATGCTATGCAACAGGGCCAGTAGTCGCAAACAGGTCTGGCCTTATCAAACATTTTTTGGCACAAATGCTATATTGCGTTCGCGAAAATTTTCGAATTTAACAGGTTTTTTCCATGTCCAGCAGGGGGGTGTAAGTCGTATACATGACTTTGTACCCTGCTTTGAGAGCCATCTAAAGAAAGTTGTATTGCTGTTTGAAATATACAGACCATTACTGTTAATTTTAAAGAGTCAGAGATGTCCAGAAATATTCGAGCAACTGTTGTTTTCAAAAGCAGAAATTACAATGTTTTGTACAGTTTTGTGGTTGTGTAGTATATGTAAAAGTGGTGAAACAGTTCAAGACTTGTGTAATGAACAAGAAACTAATAAGACATTGTGTTATTTTATAGTTTCACATCCCAACAAGGTATTTTTTGATTGTGTATTCTTGTGTATCCATGTGATAAAAACAATTGCGCTCTATAGCGATAGTGATTACGTCTGATACCTGAAAAGACCATTGAATGTTGTCCACAGTTCAAATAGCAATATTTATATGATACTACTGAAGAATTATGATTGCAAGCACATAATAACATAAAATCGACTGCGAATGTATACAGTTTAGACGTAACATCTTTTATGTGTTATACCAGTACCAATATATTTTTGAACTTTGAGCAGGAGTTTTTCTTCTGTTCAAAATTCAGAATTAACTGGATGCAATGATAAAATAAAAACGTGGTGTATACTACGACGATAGAGGCTGAGTATGGTAAGAAATTATCGCTGATGGTGGCTTAGCTAAAGTAACTTTCTTTGGCGTTGTCAGTGGTGGGAGAGTTTTCTCTGTAGTATACAAATAATCTGTGATATCCAGTGACTGTCTGCTGGGCTTCTAACTGCGCTGCCTCAGAAACAGCTGTTCAAATGTTGGAGAGGCATACGCTGTGGGGTTAAAGTAAGCTACTTCATTCTTGGAAATCGATGCACAAACGTTGGACTATTGAGCAAAAAACGCTTTAGATCACTACCAAACTTCGTTTTTTTACGTTGAATCAGTGTATGGGAACTCTAGGGTGTAATAAAAAAATGTCAAGTATGTTCGTGAAGGATCATGTTTGGCACAAGTTAACTCTCCTAAGAAAAAAAATTACCTTCCCCTTCCCCCTGACAGAAATTCCTGCAGGCACTGATAATCGTTGCGATAACCAATCCCGCGTGAATAACTATACTGGCTTACAGAATAAATTTACCAACGTGAAAAAATTGAGATATATCCTTGTGCAACCCTTAACTCCCAATTTTAAGCCCTAGAAAAGTTTTTCTGAAAATGATCGGGATCGTCTGAATCGTGGGAAAAAATAAGTTTGAGCGATTTTTGTATTTTTGTTTTTTGGCCTTTTCAAGAACTACAAAGCTTTTGCATCCTTGGCATTGTAGTAACATTGTGCCAAAATTTCCGAAATCCGTTACAAGCGGTTGTAAGACAGCGGACAGACCGACAGGGAAATGAGTGACATCGTTTTTCGTGATGTACTCGTACATGCCATATAACATCAAAAAAACATACTATCTCAGTTTAGAAAGTTTTTGCGATTACAAAACTTCCCTGCCAGTAGGCGTGGGAAGTAAAACACTAGTTTTTCGGTCAAAGTTTTCGAAAATTTCCGGTCTTTGCTTTAACCCCGACATTCAAGTTCCTTATCATTTCAGAGTTCGGTCATGAAAGTCTTAATACTCTCAAGACTTTGAAATTTTATACGGCTTATTTTTGAGTTTCACGATATATAAATATTGATACTCAAATACTAAACGTGTCTGGAGGACTTTCCATTTGTAAGTATGAGGAATTTGAAGACGTATGCTATGCTTTTTGAAATATATATATACTAAGTGACATATAAATCCGAACACCCAGTTTAAATAGTTTTATTTTAATAAAATTTTGTATAAGTACTTAATGAAGCATAATAAGTAAATGATAAAAATTTCAAAATGATTGCACTGCTTTAAAGCCCTTTGACCTTTAATAATGTGTGGATGCACCCTCATGTGCTACGCATTTTCCAACGCGCCTAGGCATGCTTCTGATCAGGTGGTCAATGTCCTCCTGTGGTATCTCATTCCAGGCAACCACCAACTCCTCTCGAAGTGCTTCTAGAGTCTGAGGAGGACGTTGCAAATTGAGCAATCTCCTACCCATCATATCCCACACGTGCTCAATTGGAGATAAGTCGGGAGATCTTGGTGGCCATGGTAACAATGTGACATCATTATGTTGAAAGAAGTCTATTGCGACTCTTGCAACATGTGGTCGGGCATTATCTTGTTGGAAAGTTGGATCTGCCAGGGTGTCAAGATAGGGTAAAAGATGGGGTTCTAGAACTTCGTGGATATAACGCTGCGCGTTCATGTTACCTCTGATGAAGGTTAAAGGTGACCTGGAACCATAAGCTATAGCACCCCAAACCATAACTCCAACAGTGTGATGAACATGTCTTTCAACAAAAAACTGGATTCCTCCTTTCAACACGTCGCCTTCTAACCCTGGCACGACCATCGTGCATGCCTAAACAAAATCGAGACTCGTCACTAAAGACAATACTGTTCCATTCCTGATCCCAGAGTGACCGTTGTCTGCACCACTCAAGGCGATTACGTCGGTGTTCTCGAGTTAAAGGGAGGACCCAGTGTGGCCGGTATGAAAACAAGCCAAAACTTCTCATTCGTCGGTAAACACTTCGCATGCCAATAGGTCTTCCGTGTTCTGCAAACCATTCATTTGCAATCGACCTGGTAGTGGAGAAACGGTCCCTTAAGGCCAATAATCTTAGGCGGCGATCTTCACGGTCTGTTGTTCTACGGCGGCGTCCAGTGCCCCTTGCTCTTTGCGTACGGCCTTCTCGAAACCATGCCTGACAACACCTAACCACAGTCTCTACACTTCTTTGCACTCTAACTGCAATTGCCCGAAAAGAAAGTCCAGCTTCCCGAAGTCCCACTATACGGCCCCTATCAAACTCACTAAGTTGACGAAATCGTACAGGTCTCCGTACTCTAGGCATCGTAACCGATCGTAAAGGATGTCAAGAACCAAAATCCGCCAACGTTGATTCTTTACTGCGGCTGAAATGTTCATTTTTAGAGCGTTAGTGAATTAAAAAAAAGCAGTATTAAAACCGGAATGTCCAACTGATAAGGCTAAACATTTTTTCACTTGTTATTTACAGTAAGATAAATACATTCACCAACTTTTATTAAAATAAAACCATTTAAACTGGGTGTTCGGATTTATATGTCACTTAGTATATATACCTAGCTTTGCTTTCTGTTTGAGTTTCTTTCTGAATGACTTTTTAACAACGATATCAGTAATTCCAAAAAAATGTCTGGGTACGCCTTCCCCTGGTTCTTTAGCCCAAAATAGGGCCATGGATCTCGCTCTCCCCTTTGGCCCCTTCAGATACTCTACTTAACCTTAAATGGCTCAGAGTAGATAACAGTGGGGAGAAAATGTTAGATAGTTAGATAATACACTTAACTGAAATCTTTGGGTGTATGATAACATCTTTGTTGATACAAAATAGTTCAAAACCATTTTGATAGATATAGATGTTGAATTTGGTTTGCATATATGTGAGGTAACTATTTTGAAGACTACTTAAATTAATAATGACCCTAGACTATTATTCAAAACATTGATACTTTGTGCCTTCTAACACATAGAATAAATGCGTCCGTGGATTCAAAGCTCTCACAATATCGGAGACAGGAGATTATAAGTTAATTCTGGATTCCATACATAAAACACACAAGAGGACTTTACTGAACATTTTTTTATTTTTATTTTATTTAATTCGGATGTTTTAATGCGATTTTTGTCAAATTCCAAATTTACTAGTCATATTTACGATTTTATATACGTAACTTGAATCACCAATATTATTGGTGCGTTGAAGTTAAGGACTATGCAAGGCAATAAAGGAGACCTCAGATTGAACAAGGTCGTCTGCTTTTTTCAATAAGGTGTCCTCAAATGAAGAAACGACTATGCTTTCGGCTCTAAACCATAGCGGCATCATGTTACCAGCATTTGAAGAGGAAACGAGTAAACCAACAAACTTTCACCGGGTACCCCCCTGCTTAGCCGACTTATTCTTCTTCTAAATTTAGTGGCAATCCCTCTCAGGCGTGCTACCGTTTGAATGCAAATGTCAAAAGGGCAACCTGCTAGATTTGAATTTATTACCGTAAAATGAAGAGAACATAAATTCGTGTAGGTCATTCAATGTATAGTACTTATCTTTACTGGATCTGGCGAAAATTAATGAGATACCTGGATCATGCTCTATAAATATCCAAAATGTTATGAGGTACATGATTTGGTAATAATCCTGTACGATTTGATAATGCTCAAACTTTATGGTTCTTTCTGATTATTTGGCACGATTAATAAAGCATAAAACTGAAGAATGCCATAAGTCATATTTATTTCTTTTCTAGAATATGGAGGTGTGTTTTAACGAAAAAGCAACGAGCAATATTGAATGTTTTAATTGCCTGCAGTAATGTTCTAAAACGTCTTCTTATAGAAATTGTTATACTTATGATTTTGAATGGAAACAAATTACCTCCGGGGTGTATAAAGGTATCGGAATAAGATTTAATACATATTTATGGGACTAAGTACATAAACGAATCATGATAAAATCTTCGTGACCCAAACTACAACAGTGACGTAGAAACAGAGATATTTTGAGTCTTATAGAAGTAGAGAAAGGCGTCAAGTGCACTTTCCTCGCAAGGCTGCCATCAGACAATATTAGGCCCCTATGAGAAAAAAGTTAGCTACAAATAAAAAAATTTAATGTCTTAAGTCAGTCAAACAGACTCAGTTCATGGTCCTTAACCATTTGACATCGTTTCGATCTAGAAGTTTGTGCTCTTCTCTACCGACCATATGGTATTGCTATGACTAACCTCACCTCTCGCCGGCAACTGTAGCCACCCATAGGTCAGCCTGCGTCATAGGTATATTCAGAAACGCGTGTGTTGAAAATATTTCTCCATCATATCATGAAACATGTCTAACAGATGCGTAGAACTACCAGGCTTGGAAGCATATAGATATACCAACTTAAAAACTTAGAAATACTTTCAAAAAGTACAAAGCTGTTTCGTTACTGGCAATTGTACTAACATTGTTTAAAAATAGCATAAAAATCCGAGAGGTACTTTCTAATGGAGCCTCTAAACAAGAAATATTTTTGTTACAACAATTGGCTGTACTATGGCAACTATTATAGCTCAGCCATCATGAACATTTTGCAGCACATGGTCCGGCTATATATCTCGGCTATATCTCAGCTATGTCTTGGGTATATTTTGGCAATATTTTCTGCAATATGTAGATACATACACATTTCAGGATTTCTCGTCAGAAGGGTTACAGAGTCAGACAAAAATGACTAACGAAATTGTAGGCATTGCGGCAGCTTACATTAGTTACACTAAGTAAGATTCCGATCGTTCGGAAATCTTACAGCAATGCATGAAAATAGACCGGAAATGCCGTTTAGATGTTTAATAATATCGCGCTCACAAATAGGGCCAACTCATTGAAACCAACGTTGGCGCCAATATGGAAACGAAGCATTCACACGATGGTCGTCACTTAGCCAACTTGTATGATGCGATACAGGGTGCGCTTGATAAGTATTTCCGTGTACTGCTTCAGTCAGTTCATGTCATTTGTTTTCTTTATTACACAAATCATATGATGATGAATGAACTTGCAACATGTATTGCAATGAATGCGCATATAGTGGTGTATAATTTGTCTGAAATATACGATGTGCTTATTAACATGCTAATTTTCCAGGATACAATTCATTAGATAATTTTAAGAGGAAAGATTGTGTTTTTAAGAACAAAATTGTTTTCTGTTTTAACATATTATGAAGATGAAAGTGTCGTCTATAATGATTGCAAAACGCAATGCCACATCATAGTAACTAAATTTTGTGCCGTTCGTTATACAGACTTTATAGATGTTAGGTGATAACTTAGACTACTACATGAGACTACTTAAAGGTTTGCGAATGCTTATAGGGTTTGTGACTGCCACTTTGCATAAAAAGTTATAAATTAGCTTTTTGTGACTTATTTGACAAGGGCGAAAACACAGTGGAAGCTGATTTCCTGCTTACCGGCAACCAGCGCCGATCGGTACCGAATTTCGGCGCTGGTCATGGACACAGTGCTGACGAGAAAAAAGCAAATAAAACCGGCCTCTTGTCAGTTCCAGCGTAGTATTCGCGACAACATGGGGTCTAGGTCATCTGAAGATTAATTTATTGCATTGGACAGCACTTTAACTGAAATAATCGCTAGAAAGAAAGTTAGTATTCATCCCATAAATCTTGAGAGGGTAGATTATTAAGGCGTTGAAAGATGACCCCGACTGCTTTTTTCAGTACACCAGAATGAATCATGAAACATTCAATTATATTCTGGAAAGAGTTGAACACCTTCTAACTAAAAATTGGTGTAACCTCCACAGTCTTAACTAACTTGTCTATATCAATTATCTACATCAACCTGCTCTGACGAGAGAAAGAACTAAATAACCGTAAGTTCTGTCAAACCACCCTTTTTAGAGAAAAATTAGTTTTGAACATTTGAGGTTAAATCAGCATTACAGTTGTACGCACGGGCGTTAAATTGTCGCTTTGTGAACAAACGTGCATTTAGCGCTGCAACAGTTCCACACTCTCGGCGCGCGATCTATGAAACGAGCGTTTTGCAGCGCGTCGTATTGGATGACGCCAGTGTTATACCAAATCCAAACGCTCTTTAAAAAGAACATTTTGTGTTATTCTTGGATGTGCTACAACTGAATGAGGTAATTGGGAATTTTCATTGTTCGTGCCGTACATTAAGGATCTGTGCCTTGATAAACTAGCTTCGTAGGACATTTTTTTGCTTTATAAATTGCTCATATATTCTCAAAAAAACTCACCTGGAGACATTTAGGCTCATGAAGTGGCAGTGAGGCACTTCCAAATTCTCTTCCACATATATAACAAGTAAGTGTACGCTTGGCGGACGTAGCTCGTTTCGGTTCGGGCGACTTCGTTCGAACGACTGGATTCTGAGGTTGAGATGGTGGCTTAAGTTTTGCAGTCGGTTGAGGAAGTCTGGAGTTGCCTTGTCGTTTCATCTCCATGGGAGAGTTGGTGTTCGATTTCGACTTGTATTTCATCGCTACTGGTTTCTGAACGGTACTTTTCACTAAAACAAAACAAGTTACTTTAATATAATTCTAGCTCTTCTAATATCCAGTAGCGGGTAAAGGAAGACTTACACTATAGGAAGCCGTTATAATATATCAAGCATCACTCCGTTTTTTCACGTTTCAGAGACTCCTGATCATTTAAAAAAAAAATGCAAATTATAGGGGGTGGGAGTAGGTATATCTCATTTTGTGTCAGTACATATTTCACAGTCAACTTAGAGAAACGTATGATGAGTTACGCGGTCGGTCGGGACGACTGGATGCAACGGTGAGTTTCATACGCCGATCCTTGCCTGCGTCCGTAATATTTAACAAGACGAAAACACATTTTCACCCATCACGTGAACTCATGAGCTACAACGTACACTCATGTTCTGCTTATGCCGATGGCACGAAAACTTACAACTCCGTTACAAACCCTGCTTTCTGACGTCAACACTTGCGCCTTCATTTACAAGACATTTGTAACGCCAATTCTTAAATTTGCTGTGCTTGTGCGCGACAGAAATCTCCTCGAGGCAGTACTGCGTCGAGCACCTCGGGTCCCATCTGCAGATCACAGACCCAGTTATGAAGATCATCTTGAGTTATTGCACTTGACCACATTCTCCGATCGAAGAATTCGAGGCGATCTCATAGTTACCTTTAGAATACTTCAGGGCTTGATTTGAACCTATACCAACTGTCGTGCAGCAATATCCGCGATCAAAGCTTCAAATTGCAAAAGGAGCCGTTTAGAAAGACAATCCGTCAGTGGTTTCTCTCCTATCGCGTATTCAACACTTGGAACAGTTTACGAGAAAGTGTGGTTAATTCTACGTCAGTCAATAGCTTCAAAATACTCGTATATTAGATGGAGCCTTGAATAATCCTTATAGCTATGAACTTTTTGTTTTTATTTTATGTATTTTACGTTACTTATCCGTACACTTTTCCTCTTGTATATGGGCTTATTGTACTCTACACATTTCTATTTTGTAATAATATAATAATAACTGATATTAATAATAATTAAATGTAAATTGATGGGTTGACACTAGCATGGATAACGTATTTCTAAAAGCATACTTACCGTTTTTGAGTTTACGTGTGATATTTTGTGAGTTTGTGTGTCGTCACGAATATGTGTTTGATAGTTGTATTGTTCCTTCACTTGTATAGATTTTATCGTTAATAATACCGACCGAAATATTTTATGTTCAATTATTTCATTACATGGGAGGCATAGGTTTAGCAAAGCTTTTTTGAACTTTTTCCGGATTTCTATTGTATGAAACATGTCTACATACACTTAAAAATAATAAAATTCAATATGTTTGTATGGATGTTAAGTCGGTAATAGAGGTAGGAAGGTCATGTTCATGGGCGAAGGACAAAATCGATACACGTGATGAGCGATCGTTCCAGTTGACTACCACCTAATGATGTAATAAAAATATTGTGAATAAAACTAGTGATCAGTAACATTTGAATCAAGCTTCGGCGAATGACTCTACGTTTTATTATAACCAAACGTTACACAACCACTGTGAACAATACTCTTTTTATATTTTATAGAATGAACACATTGTTTCATGAAATAGACTAACCAGCATTTGTATAAAAACTTAATTAAGAGAATAGAAGTTTAAAATTATCGACCACTTCCATAATTTTTGGTATACAAAATTACACCCTTTTCTCTCTCTCTCGCTATCTCAAAAAAGGCTCTTTTTATATCATATAAATACTGAAGTCTGAATATACAGATAGTTAAAATCTGCCATCATAAACATCGATAGAGAAGGATATTTGCTATGTTTTGGAATTTTTCAATTTTGAACTGTCACTGTCGCGGTAGAACTCTTCTAAATATGTGAGGAAACCGGTCTTAAATAGACTGAGCTGGCAGTGCCTGGCACTAAATAGCTTTGCAAGCTTTTCTCTAGAAGCCTTTGCGATCAATCAGATCTGTATGCAGGAGGTCTTCCTTCACGACGACTGAATGCTGGCGTGGGTACTTTTTCTTCTGCGAAGTAGAGTACTGCAGATCTTTATGTAAGCTGCGCTGCGTGGAAAGATTGTCAGAGCTTCAAGAGGCAATATTCTCCTTCTCACAGTTCATAGTTGTTCCGACAGCTACCTGAAGAGGGTAGAAAACCTGAGATAGCTGGAATTGAGTCTTGGCGATAGACTCATTGCTGACAATTTTGCCTGGCATGGTAGGTTTCTATTTACTGAGTTGTGCATATACGAATGTATCGTAGACGACAACGATATTATATTCGTTTACATTTTTTCTGCTTCCTTGTGTTACCGACCCGCCATATAGTCCGGTCATTATGTGATATGGTATAAATAATAATGGAATCTGGTTCGACAGTATAAATTATACATTTGTGCAATGTGCAAGAACCTAAAAAACAAGTTCACATAATATATGTATGTACGATAAGGAACATGACTAATACATACGGGGATGACTTTTAAGTTTTGCATATGGAAATAAGACAACACGGTAGGTAGTTTTAAATGACTTTATTGTTTTTCGAACTATTCTCCACGAAGATTAATAAACATCTGCATGCGCTCGAACCAATTTTAGAAGCACTTATTCCACTCGTTTGCTGGCAGATCCAAAACGACATTTTTGAATGCGTCAACTGCTTCTTCTGGTGACTGGAACATTTGACCACGCAGTCTGTTTTTAATTTTCGGGAAAGTAAAGAAATCGTTAGGACTTAGATCGGGACTATGGTCCAATAATTCCACGTTTTCTTCCGTTAAATACTGCCTTGTTTTTTGGGCTGTGTGCGAGCTTGCATTGTCTTGGTGGAGGATGATTCTTCTTTCAGGGTTGATTTTTCGAAGCTCGGTTTGACTTTTGGCAAAAAAATGGTGGTATACCAATCCGCAGTAAGAGTTCTTTGCTCATTAAGAGGAATTGTTGCAACATGACCCGCTTTTGATACGAATGTCGCGACCATCTTTTTCGAAACACTTCGAGAACGGATAACTTTTGTTGGCTTTTCTTCACCTTAGGACACCCAAACGGCCGACTGTCGTTTATTTTCTGGTTTATAACAGTAAATCCACGATTCATCACCACTAACAATGCTGTATACATTTTTGAGTTTCCGAAATTGAAACGGTCAAGCGTTTTTTGACACCAATTAACCCTGGCTGCGTTCTGCTCTTCAGTCAACAGGTGGGGTATCCAACGAGAAACTAATTTTCTTACTCCTAATTCTTCATGTAAATTTTTTTGACTTGAGGTCTTTGAGGTCTTCAAGGACGCATCAATCTCGCGATATGTCACATTTCTATGTTCAATGATGAGTTTGCGCACAGCATCGACGTTTTCCTGGGTGACTGCCGTTTTTCGTGCTCCCACCCTGGGATCATCGCTAAGACTCGCCCGTCCACGTTTGAATACTCCACACACAGCAAGGCATTCTTGTTGCGATAATTGTCTCTGAAAGTTGTAATAAATTATGGCGCGAAAATGTTCTCGGTTGAGTTCCATTTTTCTAATGACTTGGTGACACTTAAAAATTCACTGTAGTGAGAACACAGCACGTATTGTTGTGAAACTTTGAATTTAAGTTTACTAAAGAGTGGGGTTAAGATTCAGTACTGACGTTCGATCCGCGCGGCCTACTATGTGTCTATATGCAAAACTTAAAAGACATATCTCGTACAGAACACTACCTACCATGATGAAATTCTGCAAGCATTACCGCGAACGACTGACTGAATTGTTTTAGTGAGTATGCCGCATTTCCCGAAAATCTCACACGTCGAGAAGAAAACGCCGAAAGGGTGATTCTAACGAAGTTTGCTGACAGAGAGTGGCTATACAACTTTACCCATATAAAAAAAATCTTCTACGCAATATCGATTTAGAAGACTTCTGATCACACTTACAGTTAAGATTGGACATGAAGAGCCAAAATGCGTGGAGATTTGACTGGATAGCGATCTGCGGTTAGCAGATGATTGCGCGCATAAAGCGTAATGTGGAGCCAGAGAAAAGCTCTTGATATCTAGAGCAACGTATAGGCGGAGTCATTTCTGGTGGTGGCTACGATTCCACTATAAAAAGCGTTTATTGTTTAAAAATAGGTTGCACTTCTCATTGCGTATCAGGCCTGTAGTTAAAAAAGAATGGCATCAAGTAGTCTGACACCGCACTTCCGAAGGTACGCTGTTCATTGAGGATTAGGTTCAGCATAAGTTAACCGCTCTGTGAAAAAGTTAGCTACGAACATGTTCAATAGAAGAAAAGTGATCAAGTCCGTCAAACAGGCCCATACAATTAGACCCTAGTCTCCACCCATATGACAACGGCGCGCTCCAGAAATGTATTCCCTGCCCTAGCGACACTCCCGACCGTCTGGCAACATTGCTGTGACCATACATCGCATCTCAGCGGTCAACCTCCACACTCTTTATTTTTGTTGCATTTGATGCATGTGTTTAAAATATTTCTCTTTATGAAGTTAAGTGCAGGGAAGTCTGTGCGTGAAGAATGTCCAATGGGTGCTTAGAATTGCCTTGATTGGAAGTGTATATTGACGAGGTCTGCGAGATTTTTTTTCTCGTTTTTTGCCCCTAGTACCGCCAACGCTGCACAATTTGCAAAAACTACAAAGCTTTTTCCTAGTTGGCATATATTCGGGTACCAACTCGGAAGAGCACAGAGATAATGCACTGTACGCCACTGCTAGCACGGCGTGCCTTTCTATTGGCAAAGGCGGTGCCCGCGGACCTAGCCGTATCCAAAGACACACCGCATTAACAGTGGCGTACAACGTGTTTTGCGACTCTATTACGTTTCGGTACCAGACTACAGTTGATAACCTGTAACAAAATTTCATCAAAATCCAAGCGGTACTTTCAAATTTATACAAGGGTCAAAGATCAGCGGACAGACAGACAGACTGACGGAAGTGAGTGACATGGTTTTTCGTAGTGTACTTGTCGAACGACATAAAAATATGGCATCAAGTAGATTGACTCTATACATCCTATCCCTTTGTTGGAAGTTTCAAGGGAAAGGGGGGAGTTAAATCGTTTCAAAAGGCGAAATCGAATCGCGATTAGCTAGGTTCACTTAGGTACGATGAATCGTTGACCTCTGTATATCAAACTATATAAAGCAAATCTATCATATTTTTGTTTCCATGACAGATGTAGGGAAAATAGGTGTGACTTATTTTGTCGAACAGGTGCATAGTATTACAGATCAGCAGCTTCTTAATGTTAGGTCTTTCACTGACACCAAATATGCAACAATTTACAACCATTTACAGCATACTGCTTCCAGCCTACAATTTTCATCCCCTCCAAACAATGTCTGACAATGAGCAGGAATCTTTGAAACGTTGCAACACTATGTTCCAGCGATTTCCGCAGCATCTGCCTCAATTTTCAAAATCTAGGACTACCTAAACGAGGGAAGTATTAAACACGCGATAATATCCGAACTTCGGTTCACAAGTTTTCTGTTGCTTGAAGATATTTGCATCAAATAAGTCCGTGCTTTGCATTTATGTCGGTTTGTCAATCCGGGTCTATTGTATATCAATGCATCACACGTACTGAGTCAAACTACTTGACGAAATATTCGGAGAACCATCATAGACAGAGTAACGCAAACCCTAAAGTGGTACCTACTCCTAATACCCAAAAAATGCTAAAATATGTAAATATTTCTCCTGTAGCGGCGTGTCAGTGACGACACCACCGCGGACCAGTTGGGGTTTGTAACCCATTGCACAGCCGGCGGTGGCCTCTACGACGATGCAGCATCGCGCTGTGCACCCAACCCCCTTTGCAAAGTTATTTCGAACTATGAGCACATTATACATTGGACTTTTATCATTTAATTTACCCGTTGTTACGTTGACTAATACCAGAGACGTTACATTTACAACCCCCTACCAGTGGCGTAGCCAGAAGTCAGGGGGCCCCGGGACAAACATTTTTTGGGGGCCCTCATGAGTATGTTTAAGAATAAAAAACATCATGTTATAATAAAAAAATTGTTTATTGTCATAAAAACAAAAAGTAACACAAATTAAAATAATGAAATAACAAAAGTCAAAAATTAAGCAATAATAAAATTAAAAATCCCTTTTTCTTGCTTTTCTATTTGCAAATTCGTTGATAATATCATTTATATCAAGGTTTTGGGCTTCTTCATTCTCTATAGAGAGTAAAGCAAGATCGCTTAATCTAATCCGGCCTGTAGTAGACCTAAGATAGTTTTTTACAAGTTTTAGCTTGTTAAATGATCTTTCAACAAATGCAGTAGTTACAGGCAACGTAAAAAATAAAAGGAACATTAAGTAAACTTCACTTAAGTCGCTTTCAAGTACCCCATACTTACTTAAAATTATATTGAAATATTCCTTAATTGATAGATCATTCTTAAGGTCTCTTTTACAAACATTTAACAAATTGGTATACTGAAATATTAAATTATTTAAATCAAATATTTCAGGATATTTGTTATAAATGGCTGTACATTTATTTTTAATGGATGTTTCATCGCAACTTAATATAATTTTTGGAAGAAGTAAATCAAACAATTTATTAATTTTTTTCATGCTCCTAAATCTATTAGAAATCTGTGTCAGAACACGGTTCATAACAACATTAAAAACATTTATTTTAAATAAAATTTGAGTATTATTAAATCTGTAATCACTTAAGAGTTCGTCAAAGTGTTTTTTAACTTTGGGTTGACGTTTTTGCCTGAATTCCGGTTGAATATTTCATTTGTTAGCCAGTTCCGTAGCTTCAATCATTAAAATTTCCTAAGAAGATCTTAAGTCAGTAAGGTTCTTTTCTACTTGTTCTAAAACAGTCACAGATTCACTTAAATCAATATTTTTCTTTTGAAGGACCTTTGAGGCGAAGTTAACCTGGGTAAAGATTTTATACAACATTGTTGAAATAAATACAAATTCAAAGCAACACATTTGTTTTTTAATGGAAGAAGCTTCTTCTCTTTCTTCTTTTTTGTGAGACTGTAACTCTATTTCTGTTAAAGATTCAATAATATCAAGATAACGAAGTTTGACAGCACTAATAGACAATATCCTTCCTGACCCACGAGTTGGATTTAATGTCTTTAAAGTTGTTCTGGATTCACTGGTAAAAGAAGCTAAAAGATCCCATCTATCAATACTTAAACCAAAAAAGGAATATATATTTTGCATAGTTACTTGTTCTTTTTCAGCATGCTTTTTTAATTTTTCCTCTTTTCCTAATTACAATTTTCGTTTCTGTGCTCCAGACTGATATTTCCGCTTATCTTCCATTTTTATTTTTGTTGCGTTTTGTTCCGCAATCTGCTAATTCTGCAAAGAGAAGAATACACAACCATTTTAAATGCATTAAATAGTTCGATCGTTGTGTATCAATTAGACCTTTTCAAAAAAATCGTCTATTTTTTTCTCTCAAGTACGTCGAAAATATTGTTAGAAATGACGAAAAAAAATCCTGTAAAAGTAACAGCTCTTAATATTAATATTAAGTGGTGCCGCATCGAAAATTTCAACTTCCCTCGAAAAACTTTTGAACGAGTATGTTTATCGGAAAATTGTCCTTTTTTGTAAAGCATTCAATTCCCTACAAGAGTAAACTATGAACTCATCCGTATGATAATTTAGTAATGAGAAAAAAATTCAAAAGTTGAAAACAATTTTTTTCCCATGTTAATGAAGAAATGTTAAAGAGCTGTAACATTTACAGGATTTTTTTTCGTCATATCTTACAAATTGTTCGATATACTATATACTTAAGAGAAACAAAATTAGTCGATATTTTTGAAACAGTCAATAGACCATTTTTAGTCTTTAAGAAGCTTTTCGAATTTAGTGTCGGGTTTAAGGTGCCCGTAGAGTTTCCGTAACAAAAGACTTAAGCCCAGACTTAAGCCTTAAGCTGTAACGTAATTTCTCATGCCTTAAGGCTTAAGTCTCGACTATACTTTATAAATCAAGTGATCAGAAATCTGTATAATTCCTTGCGGTTAAGTCTTAATCTGTCTTAAATGAAACTTAACTCTTAAGTCTTACGTTACGGAAATTCTGCGGGCGCCTTTACTCAGCAAGGTAATGGACAAATGTACATTTACAAACAAAATTACGCACAAATCAAAATCGAGCCATTAATTCATTAAGTAATATAACTTACACTTACCTTTTTTTCTAGGTACCTTATTATAAGCACAATAGTCAAAATACAAATATAGTAATGTTATCTTACACTACACCGGGCACCACGGCACGACTACGACACATATCAATATCACACAGGGCACGCTGGGTAGTTAAAATCATCAAAACAATAGATCGGGGAATCCCCAAAGACGAGACGTAATATTAAGGCGGTGGTGCCAAGCCCGTCGCGGTCCGACGGATTATAGCTACATAGGTTTAGGAACGCAAGCGTTTTAAAAAATAAACATTATTTATCATTATATTTATTATTTATTTTTCTTTCTAGTATACCTAGGTTATATTAGCACTTAATGAATTTATTGCTGATCGGCGCTTAAAAACAATTTTTTTGAGGCGCATGGCCGGGGGCCCCCTATAAGCCGGGGCCCCGGGGCACTGCCCCGGTTTGCCCTAGGATAGATACACCCCTGCCCCCTACCCTCACCAAAAATTTTCCAAAAATGATCAGCAGCCTCTGAAACGTCAAAAAAACGGAGTTGAAGCGATTTTTGGTTTGCTTGTTGTTGGCTTTTTTCTCCGCCGACAATGGACCAGTTTTAAAAAACTACAAAGTCGTTTCTTCCTTGACGTAGTTACTACTCGTGTGAACATTTTATCAAAATCCAGGCAGTACTTTCCAACTTATAGGCGAGCCAAGGATTAGCAGATATATACGGACAGACAGACAGACCGAGGGAAATGATTGACATGGTTTTTCGGGGTGTATATGTCGTGCTACATCAAAAAAACATGATATCTCATAATGTTTTGCAATTACAATATTACCACGGCGTGGGAAGTAAAAGTACATCCAGCAAACAATAAAACAATCCACAAATTATGTAAGTGCGTTCGAAGAATATTAGCATGGCATAAGTATAGCAAGTGCAAAAACAACATTTCTACGAACTTACTGGCAAGCCTAGGAGAAACGACCTTTCCACACAGAGGCACTGCAGTAGCAGGATGGCTATGGAACCTCTCAGGCTGGTCCTTCCTGCCACACGTCTTGCAGGCTTCGGCGACGGCGTTGCTTGCCAATTTCGCAGGAGCGGAGGATGACGTTGCTTCGATTTTGGCAGCGCCTGGCACGGTTTGTTTCCGGGGCCTGATCGCAGCTACGATTTTGCAAGGCGGTTTGTTATTATCATTGTTGTTTGCGTCACGGTGCCGATGCGGCGATTGTGGTTGAATCGCAGTTGGCTGCTTTTTGATGGCTGCTGATGATGTTTTGACTGAACGGAAGATGGGTGCAACGGCAACGGGGCGAATTGTGGCGACGGCCTTGGAAGGGGTACTGCGGAGGTCTGGAAAGTAATAATTTGTAGTAGATATGGCGGAGAGCATAAATAGTTGTACCACGTTCTCTCTACTTTAGGGAAGTGGCAACCCCCGGAGTGTTGGTGGATCTAGTGGTCTTAGAGGCAGGTGAAACTCATAAATTATTTTTCTACGACAAAGCATTACTTCTAAGGAGAGCTTCACTAACGTTTGCATCAACAATAAACAATAAGATGTTTTAATCTCACTTACAAGGGAACCTTACACCCTTCGGGTCACCGATTTGGCCGCAGTCTATGTATTGAAAGAGACTTGTTGATGTCGTATATTCCCAAAGTTCTAAGGTGAACAATTCGAAAATTAGGGAGAAATTTCTCGCAAAAGTGTCAGACTGTCCATTTGTCAAAATTTAAAAAATGCTAACTGACGAAAATTGTGTTGTCAAAATAGGCAGCTTATAAGGTTTATTGATAGGTGATTTAATAAAATTATGTATTTGTCAACCTGATTTAATTGTAAGCATTGAAATTACCGAACTGTTGTTTTTACTTCCCGGTATTGTAATCGCGAAAATTTTCGAAAATGAGATATGTGTTTCTTGGATGTTATGTGACATGCAAATCACGAAAAATCATGACACTCATTTCTGTCAGTCTGTCTGTCCGCTAATCTTATAACCGCCTATAATTTAGGAAGTTATTATTTTACAGGGTGTTTCAGTTTATTGTTGCATAACTTTAAGATTCGATAGAACTTTTAAAATTAATGCATAAAGTCTATATAAACGTGGGTCGAAAAATGCGTGGCTTCTGAAATACAGGGTGTTTAAATTTACTTTCTAAAATAGTTTTTTTTAAATATTTCGAACAATATTTGGTGTATAACAGTGAAAATTGGTATACAAGGGTTTTTTGGTACGACAAAACGAACCATGGGCATAGTTTTACTGTAGCCGCTAGAGGGCGCTCTCTACTGTACCTGAAGTGTATTAAAAAGACCGAAAATTTTTTCTTAGTGCAATTTTTTGCTTTTTGAATAAAAAAACTGATTCTTCGCACTTTTCAACATAAAAAAGCTCTCTTGTGAATTTTCGTTATAGTTAGCCGTTTTTGACATATTTCGATTTTTAAGGTTCGATGCATTTTTAATTATTTATGATAAAATAACGTTAAAAAGTCAGTATCTCGATAACTTTTAGAGGTAGGCTGTGCCTGCAAATATTTTTGAAATTGAAAGCAGAATTAGGTTAAACGTCAATTAGTTGACAGTTAGTTTTGTTGTCTGTTGAAACCTGAAATGTTTTTTTGCAATTGTTAATGCACGAAATTTAGTTTCCTTTACCTGCTTTTTTTAAGTTTTATATAGTTTTATAAAAATGCGATTTCTATTCTCCAATCAAGAGAAGAGAAGATATTTATTTTGTGTATGGCTTTGTAAATGGAAACACAGCAGAAGCAGCCAGAGAATACGCACGAAGATTTCCAAACGACATCCAACTCGCTCAGTATTTGTAAGAGTGCATCGCCAAATAATTGAAAATGGTTTTGGAAATCGCCAATGGGATCAAAACATAAATGTTCGTCAGCGCAGATTTACCCGTATGATTCTGCGTGAGTTTGATAGAGATCCGACCACAAGTGTTAGGAGAGTTTCTGGTGCCTTGGGAATTTCAGCAAGCCAGGTTCACCGTGTTCTTAGAAATGACCATAGACGTCCTTACCATTTGCAACCTGTGCAAGGACTACAGCCAGGGGACGGAGAACGAAGAATCACATTTTGTCAGTGGATTCTTGATAGAACTGATAATAATAGGGAGTTTTTAAGTAACGTTTTCAGGACCGATGAGTCATGCTTCACTAGACGTGGAGTGGTATATTTTCATAATCAACATATTTGGTCGCATGAAAATCCGCATGCAGTTCGGGAAAGAAATTTTCAACATGAATTTAGTGTGAACGTGTGGATTGGTATCTACCGTAATCGATTATTTGGACCATACCTTTTGCCTGCAAGGTTAAATGCTGCGACCTTCTTGGAATTTTTAAAGGCTGAACTGCAAATATGTGGGATGATGTTACGTTAGATTTAAGAAGATTGGCCTGGCTCCAGCTTGATGGTTGTCCAGCTCATTATTCGAGAATAGTTAGAAACTGGCTGGACGAAAATTATCCAGAAAGATGGATCGGCCGTGGAGGACCAGTCGCCTGGCCTCCACGATCCCCTGACCTAAATCCATTAGATTTCTTTGTGTGGAGATTTATAAAAGAAAAAGTGTACCAGAGTCCCGTAACCACAAGAGATATGCTAATAGACAGAATCAGGAATGCATGTGATGAAATAAGGCCTTATTTGAATATTGCTATACCACGTTCGATTATTCGTAGATGTGAATTGTGTATTGAAGAATTGGGTTTACATTTCGAGCAACTACTTTAGATTTTGTATGTTTGTCCTAACTATCCAATAGCATTTTAGTTGTAAATAATTAATTTAATTTGTTAAAAATAATATTGGAATATTAAACAAATTAATATTCTGCTTTTTTGTGTTTATTTGGAGTTAGGAATTATTGCTGTGTTTAAAAAAACAATCTAAACGATCATCTTAATTACTTGTAATGCCCAAATCGAAAATGTAAAAAAAAATATTATTTTCACATAAATAATTAAAAATGCATCGAACCTTAAAAATCGAAATATCTCAAAAACGGCTAACTATAACATAAACTCACAGGAAAGCTTTTTATGTTGAAAAGTGCGAATAATCAGTTTTTTTATTCAAAAAGCAAAAAATTGCACTAAGAAAAAAATTTCGGTCATTTGAATACACTACAGGTACAGTAGAGAGCGCCCTCTAGCGGCTACAGTAAAACTATGCCCATGGTTCGTTTTGTCGTACCAAAAAACCCTTGTATACCAATTTTCACTGTTATACATCAAATATTGTTCGAAATATTTAAAAAAACTATTTTAGAAAGTAAATTTAAACACCCTGTATTTCGGAAGCCACGCATGTTTATATAGACTTTATGCATTAATTTTAAAAGTTCTATCGAATCTTAAAGTTATGCAACAATAAACTGAAACACCCTGTATATTACTACTATGCCAGGGACGCAAAAGTTGTGTAGTTTTTGAAAATCGGTCCGGTGACGGCAGAGAAACATGCCAAAAACGACAATGAATAAAAATTGCTCAAACTTCGTTTATTAACGTTCCATGGGATCCTGAGCATTTCTGAAATAAAATTTAGTGGTAAAAATACTTGGGGGTGGGGGCTATAGGAAAGAGGGGGTTTATCTCAATTTTTTGAATGTTTGTACATTTACACGCTCCCAACCTTGGTAATTCTACGCACCTATTAAACGCGTTTGACACAACATAGATTTTTTCGTACACTAGCCCTTAAAAGTTATATATATAATCTCAGCAGACGGATCGCGTACATACCGTCCGCGGCTGCTGCTTCCGGCAACGACCGTCGGCCTTGGCAAGTGTTCTGGTATGGTATTACATGTATTTCTGACGCGCCACAACATGAGCTCTGACCGCGCTGCCACGTCTGATCGGGAGAGGCAACGTTTCCAAATACACTAACGGTAGGGCAGGGAAAGAATGTCTGTAGACTATTTGTATGGACCGGTTCGTCTGACTTTTTTGTCAGAGGGTCTAGCTTGTGCTGAACATAATCCTTTATGAACTGATAACGGCGTTCCGTGGAAAGTGCAGAGTCAACCTACTTGACGCCATTGTTAAATAATAAAATGCAGTGGAAGTTGGGGAATAAATCAGTTGTCATTTCTATTAATTAACTCATTAATAGTACATGTTAGTGGATGATGATTGTCCTAAAAACAGAGCGTACATTTATCTGCGTATTTAATCAGTTTCTGGAAAATTGGTGTTGACAACTGATGATGGATTGATAGATAAAGTCGTATGGAATCTTCACGAGATTTCGCGTTTTTGTGCAACTAAATTTGAACAGTTCTAGTTATTTGTAATAGAATTTTTGTTGGCGATAAAACTAAACATCACATGGTCGAAAATGTTTTACATTAAACGTTATCAACTCTCGCATTCTAGCAGTTTTGATATTTGGACAAATAGTGAGACTGTCCCTTTCGAGATATATATCTTCCTTATTTTCAAGTTGTGCACCTTAGGACATCAATATACTTATTCACCAAGTCTATCAACACGTCGAGCTGCTGCAAAATCGGTGACCCGAAGGGTGTAAGATTTTTTTGTCAGTGGAGGAAAAAGATACATTATTATACTAATACTATATTTTGCTGAGCGCTTAAATCCAATTTTCAAAATTATACTATAGCATAAATTGAATAGAAGTATCATGTTACATGTTAGACATAATTTTGTAAATTTTTGTAATAGAGGAATACTGATGAACTATATAGATAATTTATTTTTTGTAGTTAAGTCTGATATCCCGAATTTCGCCACTTGAATAGAATTATGAATGCACTGTTGATTAAGCCTAGCTTTGATTTGGCTCATGTAACCCGTTTTTAATAACTTCAATCATTTAAGGTTAACTTCAAGGCCCCTGTGGAAAGTACATCTGGCCTACGCTTTCTAAGGATTCAGATTAACAATATTTCTTAGATTACCATGCCTAGGCCTTAGAAGAATAGAATAAATTAATAGCTCAAAGTTATGTTGGTTGGTACGTTGGTTACGAGTATAGTACAGTATATTTTGTAGAAATTAACTGAATAAGTTATTAGCTTAAGTTTATTTTGGGATAGTTACAAACTAAAAAATGCAAAAAATTGATTTAAAATCTACCCTTCGTCAGCTCCAATAATCTCTAATACCTTTTTTGACATTTAACCATAGCATATTGCTTCATCAGTACCGATCCAAATTATATATTGATGCTTAAAAAAAGATCATACCTGAAATTGTCGGAGCTCAAATGGTCAATAAAATACAGGACTATTTATGAAATAAATTGAAAGATGTCAGAAAATTTGATGTCAACAATTGATCCGTGTATAAAGTAAAACTTTTTAGTTAATGCTCATAACGTATAGAGTATATTTAGAACAAATTATGAAACATACACAGGAAACAACTGACATATCAGGAAAATCATTAATCGTCCAGGTCGACCAAAGCCAATAGTTTGGCGTGTAACAAAAGTGATGTCATAGAGATAAGGGCGTAAACTGAACCAATGTAAAATGGGCGATACAGTTGCGGAATAGTTTTAGAGGTTATTTACATACACAGGCTTACATGCAAAAAGGACAAAAAAAACAAAAGCTTTGTAATTGATTCACAAATGTACTTACTTGCATTATCATCCAAATTCTCGGTAGAATCCGAATCTGCTTTCCTCTTTGTTTTAAACCTCTGTGCTGGAGGCAAACTCAATGGCCTAGCAACCTTTACAGGCTTCTTGTTTATTAACAATGGCATTTTACATAAATTGGGAATATTTAGAAATTCTTTCGTAACTTTACTCATATCAATCAGTCCTATAAACCTAATATCTAATATCATAGGTTTTTCAAGCGTTGCTGTTAGTGGTCTATCTTCTCTCTTTTTGATGTTTGTGCGTTTTGTGAATAGTTTCAGTCCAGCTGGGTTCTTCAAAGGCATCTTCACTGGTTCTTCTATTTTATCAGCAGAATATCTGTCCGCTATCGAAGGTAAGACTAAGAACGGCTTACAGTGTTTTCGATTGAAGGTTTTTGATGATCGGGTCATATATGTTACTATCTGAAACAATTGAACAAAATGAAGTCGAGTAGAATAATTCTGTCAGCACTTCCAACGTATTAATGTCTACATTCGAATTAAGTACATATATGGGCTGGAGAAATACTAAAATAGAATAAGTATTTTTTCAAAAACGGCATCATCAAATGAACTCATGAGATATAGTAATTGTGAGGTTTTCGACAAACTTCCGTATGATTTCAAAACTTGGCTAATGTGGATTCAGAGGAGAGTGTAGGAGTACCGCAATAGTATGTATCACCAGCCAAGAGAAAACATATCAGATTGTATTTTTGTTATCCTATTGACGAGCGGACAGTAGTCGGGTCTTTACTACCGATACGATAACGGAATTGCTTCCTGTGAGTTCCTTTTCATATTGTCGCCATAATTTAAAAGTTTCAAGAGGCATTCGTTATTTTAGAGAGAGTATCCATATTCACAATCTGTCAGACAAGGCATTGGAAAAAATTATAGAATGCTTTTTTCAGAAGGTGAAAAATGAAAATTTAAGAACCGATCTAAATCAAAACAAGTGACATGAAATAAATCATCTGTTGATCGATATGAATATTTCCATGTTCTTGTCGAAGTTCGTGTAACTTCATAAAAACATGTGCCACATGAAATGACTGTAATGTAATGAAAAAATGTGGACCAACACATCAGGAATGTCACGAAAAAAATGATATTCTCGAGAGTAAATGTAAGGACTTCTCATATAGAGATACCAATAATTTTTTGTGTGTATTTGTCTGCCAAAATGCTAAACAGTTTTGCTTCTAATCGAAGATGAATTTTTTGACCGGCTGTTCAGCGCTGTAACCGCTGCAGCAAATCGAACACATAGGGTAATTCAACCCTAACCATTCATTCCAAAATTTCATAGTTATATAAATCTACGCGTAATGATGATTTTGCCAAATTTTACTTAAATAAAATAGTAACTCGGCAGTTTTCATTTACCATCGAGTACATAATTCCATTGTAGAACCCATCTATACAATTGTTTCTACAACGGGACCCGTGTGTACCCAGTCTGGTCTAATACTCATCTATGGGTATCTGTGATGCAGATACAACATAATAGCACGCATACTTTCTTGACTAAATTCTTTTCTCTATGTGAAGACTGCAAGCTTTTACTTACTATTATATGATTTTAATAATTATGAAACTTACCTGTATTTATAATACTGTTTCAGGGACAAATATCACAGTAAACACAGACAGCACCGCACCGGTGCCGTATAGGGAAATCGCGTCCGGAGAAAGGCTCTGTGGGGAAACTTAGGGGTGAAAACCCTCGATACAAACAGTGGCCACCAGTCGGTGCGTTCTGAGGTTGGCCGGGGTGTCCGTATGAGAAAAGCAGCATGTGGACGCGATGTAAAAGTGTTGTAGAGTCTGCCCACGCGCAATATACGATCATTTCACCGGTTGTAGTCAGGTGAAATTTAATCGAGGCGAGTTGGAAATGGTCATGGACGAAGTGTTGCTAACGATGTTATAATTACAGTTTTGTTAGAAAATGCGATCCCTTAAAGTCGTGAAGGAAAAATGGTACCGACTAGATTAATGTAAAACCGCCCACGTATTGGAATTGAATAAAAAATGGCGTCAAATAGAATTCTGTACTTCTCACGTAACGCTGACATCAGATCACAAAGAATTATGATCAGCACAAGTTAACCCCTCTCAGAAAAAAGTTAAGTACGAGCATGTATAACAAAAATCAAATGGATCGAGTCAGTCAAACAGTGTCATACTATTAGTCCATATTCCCCACACATTTGACAACGTTGCAATCTAGAAATTTCCCCCCTGCCATAGCGACAGTACCGACTACCAAACGGGCCGTGGTCCCCCTGAGAGTACGGTTGATCCTCATTAAAATTTGGATATTTACGGATTGACATAAAAATACTATCTATAGTCTATTCACACCTAGTCAAAACATACACGAGCCCTCGATCTTGTTGCGGCAATTCTTCGCCTTTTGGCGTGAGAAATAAACTGTTTCCGGAAGATTTACTTACAGGTACCCTCATAAGTTAATAAGAACTTAAAGTTTTATTGGAATCCAGTACTTTCGACAAATAATGTGCAGAAAATAAGAGCGAACTTGCCATTTTATGTAAGCTTTTTTAGCATCATCGAAGATATAAAGTTACATTATTGAGCTGAATATCAAAGTTACTTACCTTTTTTTATTATATATCTGGATAGACCTAAAATTCAGTACTCTGATTGATTTTATGTTTAAGCAAATGTACTAAAAACATAGCCAAAAGCTATTCCCTATAAGATTATAATTTAAAAAAAAATATTATTTTAAACCACTCATGGTCATGGCCGCATTAACGCGGCTCCCACGATCACGAGGACCATCTCCTGGGGTAACGGGGGATTAAAAGGAAACGTCAGTCGGCTAGTCTTAGACATAATAACAGAGTCGGATTTCGATTGGCGATCTAGCCCTAACAATCCCCTTTACAGTCTGTCGGTAGATGCAAATCTGTTGGCTCTCGGTGTCAGACCTATAACGCAGGTACCAATTTTTTTCAAATCGTGCGCACATTAGTCGTCGGATTTTCGTCACTTAAATTTCCTGCAATTACTGGGATCAGAAGCTTTTTAATAATAGAACGTGTTTCACATATCAAATCAAATGCAACATTTAATATCACCTTCCCCTAACCCCCACTTTTTAAGCACTACATTTTTTTTATGACATGACTGGGAACCCCTCAAACGTCAAAAACGGAGTTTCGGCAATTTCTGCCTATAGCGCCGCCGCCAACAGACTGAAACTACCAGGCTTTGGCATAGTAGTAACCTTGTGTGGAAATTTCATAAAAATCCGAGCGGTAATTTCCAAGTTATAGACGGGCAAAGGAATAGCAGACAGACAGACGGAAATGGGCGATATAGTTTTTCGTGTTGTAGATGTCATATAAGATCTAACAAACATAACATCTGATTTTCGAAATTTTTTGCGCCATTGGCGTGCGAAGTAAAACGGCTTTAAGATGGACAAGTAAAAATTTTCAATTTGCCGAAGCAGCCTAAACGTAAGGAAATCAGTCTATTCACCATCTTAAGTTTCATTTACTGGCCAGTGTAAGATAGATAGATTAGAGGGACAACCGGGGCATAAGTTCAGAAGTTACACTTACGTTACTAGTTACGAACATTTACTTCGCATCAGTGATCGCGATTATGAACACCTATTTGCAGAAATAGGGCCACCAAATTATCTGAATACGTCCTTTCTTAGTCCGTACATGCCTCCGCGTCGCTTGGGTTGGCAGCACGAAACAGTAGACATAATTCGTGCAAAATACGATTTGTAGAGGTTTTCGGGCTTCGAAACTGACGCTTCATTTTTTAATATGTTCGAGTGAAATTTTTACAGTGACCTGAAAACAAAACCCTATAGGGTGGTTTCGAGACTCTTTTTCATTTTTTCCAATAGACTCTTTTTAAAAAAAATAGCGAAGTTCAACAAAAAAAGTAAGCATTTCAACCCAACATAAATCTTGTGTAAAAACAAAATTTCAAAAAGCGCTCCGATAGGACCCTGTCTTCTCAACAAAATGTAAAAATTTTATTCAAAAATATTAAACAATGCAGTATCAGTTTCGAAGCAGCTGAACCCATGTAAATGGCTTGAAACTCACTACGTCGGAGCCGCCTTAAACCTCTTAAATTTTTTCATTTCGGGGCTTGCGTTACATCGATACACGTTAAAATTTAACAAATATGGGCAGTTTATTGAAACATTTTAGGGTGCTTTCAAACAAATTTTGACACCCTCTATCTTGGAAACAAATCATTATCGAGCACATTAAAAAGTTTGAAACTGGACATTCTGACCTTGATAAATAAAGTAAAAACGGTGTAACCCTACTAAATATAGGATTAATGTCTTCTATAATTAAGGATATAGCAAGTTACCCACTGTACATATTTCCAGTTATTTGTTGCATTATTTGCTGTCCAAAAGAGGCTAATTTTGCATTAATCATTATCAACGGTCTATTTTTTAAATCAAACTACTTGTCTCTTTATACATAAACTTTTCGTCTACTTGTCTCTTTATACATGAGCTTTTTGTCGTCTATGAACCTCTTCTTGAAGTTTGGCGAGATACTTGTATGCATCAGAAAACTAATCATCTCAGATGTCGAAAATGTTACTATATTACTAAAACGATTCATAGCCGTATTCTTTATTTTCTATTTCCTTTTCTTATAATAACTCTGTATCTAGTTTCATCTGTTATATTTGAAAGTATAAATTAATTACACCTCCAGATCTAGATGCAAAATGACTGCCCTATAGTCACGATGACTAACATTTGAAACCAAATCGAGGGACATATAGAGAAACTGGAAACGATTTTTTGTTTTCATATTAGTACGTGTATGTGGGGAGTCGCCTACACTACATACAGATATGAATACTTCATAACTAATATAATTTTGCTAGTAAATCGAAAAAGTGATGGATTTTCCAAATGCATTAGAACAAAGAATGAAATATTATTTGAATAATCTATATTCGTATCCGATTGATGCTAACGATCCTGACTAAGCATGACTCATCAAAATTAATCGCTATTTTGAATGCGCATTAATACCATAGTAAATCGAAATGATCAAAACATTACCTCAGCTATGTGAAGCTATAGCAGAAATAGGTATATCACGTTGTAAGTGATATACACGTATTTCTCCTATGAAGCTTTTTCGTTTTTGCCCCAAAATTTCATTACTTTTCGGGATTACATTCTCGTTTCTTCGTCAGATACTTCGCCACTGGATTAATTTAAAAACTTTAGGCCATTTCCATGTATGTGTGCAGCATTCTACTGAAAAAAATAAAACATCTGAAATCGTTCCTTCACTGTTTGCCATTTATCTCATTTTCCGTTAATATAAGTTGCTCATTAACTTCCTACTTCTAACTCTATGTTGTAAATGTTAGACGCATTGTGTAACCAAACCTCGTATGCCAGACATAAATAGAAAATCCATCAATACTCATATAAAAAAGTCCCAGAACGAACTACCTATATTTTTTATTAATCCGATTTTTGACCTGCTCAAGGTTAGTAGAACTGGAACTGCCTCTTCATGTAGATCACTCTACAATCTAGATACTCTATAATTGTATCCAGTTAACGTGTGACTAACAAAAATAAACCCCATCTCCATTAAGTGACGATCCATCTACTAATCTTCTATGGGTTGGTGTCTATGGAGACATCTACCTGAGCCTCATCAATTATCTCAATGGAAGGTTCTTAAGCCCCTGCTCGTAGGGATTAAAGTTCCTTGGGTAATAGAGTAAGAAGAATAGACTGATTTAAGGCATTTATTGACTAAGCCTTCTTGTGTTCTCAGTCATTTTGCTCTTCCTCTTGTCCTCATTCTGTTGACCTGAGTCGCTTTGTTGAATTTTTCATATCTTTATTTGGCATCTAATCATTTTTTGTAGTCTGGCTTAGATGCCCTTATGATATTACTAATGATTATATCCATAGAGAGGAGGTATTATTTTTGGCTGTTACCATTTTGTTACTGCATTCAATCGTTGAAATTGAGGGTGTCTTTATTTAACAGTAACAGGTGACAGACTCAAAAGTACACAATTTGAGCTCTATTTTCGTGACCTGTTAGGTACAAATCAAAATGACTGCAGATAAAAGTGCCTTCTGGACAGCATGCACTTCATCCTCTTCCAAAATGAATTTAATGGGATCCCACATTTTCCCAACGTGTTTTTGTATAAGAGGATTTTATCCTGAACTATATGTGAGTGTACCTGGTTAAAGTGGAAGTTGATAATTATTGCTAAATGAGACACTGAATTGAGTCATACATAGTGTAATCTAAAATAGTTTACGATATAATATAAAGAAAATCCAAGATACGGCATTTCCCAGGAAGAACATCAAGAGTAGTTTTGAGACGGCGTTCATCAGGTTCAAACTGAAACAAAAATAAAAAACGAGATTGGTTGTAGATAATTATGCATAGAAAATCTTTTATCTTCTATTATTCATATACTAAGCAGATATCAGCATCTATAATTGAAATCACCTGAGGTTAATTGAATATTTATACTTTGCATACATTAGGTACAATAAAATACCAACTAAATGGTGAAACGGAATAGGCATTGAAGTCATGAAACGCAATCTCTCAAACTATGTTAGGCATAGTCTGAGCACTGGTGACGTAAAACCATTGAGCATCCGTTAGGAAAAGGATTTTCCTCTCCAGATATACTGGGTGCTCGGGCATCAATAAAAATAGACGGTAGGCTGGTTTCGGTTCCCAGGAGTCGACGAGCATATACAGGGTGCGGCAGAGAGGACGGACGTTTTTGGGATGGGTAGTACTCTCTGAATTCGTCTACGAGAGAGGTGGGGAGGGTGCCGTTTGACTCGTGAGATCCTAGCATTATTTTACCAGTTGTCGTTATGGAGCCTTGGACGGTGCAGCACCGCGTTTTCGCCTATGAGTGACGAAGCCCACTTTCACCTAAACACCATGGTTAACCAGCAGAATTGTCGTTATTGGGCTAATGAAAATCCGCAACAGTCACACGAAAGACCGCCGCACAGCCCAAAAGTAAATGTTTGGTGCGCTGTATCGCAAACTTGCATCATTGGCCCTTACTTCTTCGAAGACGGTAATGGTCGTGATGTTACCGTGATCTCAGAGCGCTACGTCGACATGATCACCAACTTCTTTCTCCCTGAATTACGACGGCGACGTGTTCCAATCCGACGTGTGTCGTTCCAGCAGGATGGGGCGACCGCCCATACAGCCCGAGCATCCATGGTCGTTATTCGCCCCCCTCTTCCGTGGTCGCCTTATTTCCAGGTTTGGCGATGTTCATTGGCCTCCTCGGTCTCCAGATTTATCCATATGCGATTTTTTCTTATGGGGACACCTTAAGGCTAGAGTATACGCGAACAAGCCCCGAACTCTGGACGAATTGAAGGGCGAAATTCGCATGGAAGTCGCCCACATACTTGATGTGATTTTCCACACTTGACTGTCTCAAATGCTATTTCCTTGTGAACCTGATTCCATCAATAAATTTGTTTTCGAGTAAAAACTATTTTATGGTTTTTTATAACCGTCCATCCTCTCTGCCGCACCCTGTATAATATAAAACATATTAACCCCCCTGAAGGACGGTCTTGCTGCTCATCTGTTAGGAGCATTTTTGGGGGAATGATAAAGACTGGCATGCTCATGTCGAAGTATGCTGCTCGGTGGGCTGACATCCCCCTTTTCTCACGTTGCCTACCTACCGCGTTTTAATTCGCCCCCATGAGATGGGGAATCATATCCAGATGTTTTACGGAAACAGAGTGTACTTTGTACTCCTCTGTAACAATTTTAGTGTTCGTAATTACATGTTACATGCACTCGGAAATAGAACAAAGTAAGGGGGTTAGATGGTAGAATAGATATATAATCTAAATCGCGCCTCCTGTAAGAATATTACAAATAAAAGACGTTAATTATTATTATAATATGTCGAAAGTAGTATATTATACTTTCGACTTAAGCAAAAGTATCAATAACTCTAATGTCCAGTCTTTTGCAGACGATACGCAGTCGCTCCATTATTTAAGTCCAGATAATGTCAATAATACTACCCCAATTTTCTAAAACGATGTTATTAAATTGATTAAGTACGCATAATCTACTTATTAATCCACAAATATGTAAGATGTTATTATTTTGCGCCTAAAGGAAAAAAGACAATGCAACATACTTGAGCATTCAGATAAATAACCAAATCTTGCGATTCGCTGATTGTGCATAAATTCTTGGAGCTGTTTTGATACAAAATTAATGTTCATTGAGCATGTTAAAAGTCTTTCACAGAAAACCTATACTAAGTGACATATAAATCCGAACACCCAGTTTAAAGGGTTTTATTTTAATAAAAGTTGGTGAATGTATTTATCTTACTGTAAATAACAAGTGAAAATCAGCCTTATCAGTTGGACATTCCGGTTTTTATACTGCTTTTTTTTAATTCACTAACGCTCTAAAAATGAATATTTCAGCCGCAGTAAAGAATCAACTTTGGCGGATTTTGGTTCTTGACATCCTTTACGATCGGTTACGATGCCTAGAGTACGGAGACCTGTACGATTTCGTCAACTTAGTGAGTTTGATAGGGGCCGTATAGTGGGACTTCGGGAAGCTGGACTTTCTTTTCGGGCAATTGCAGTTAGAGTGCAAAGAAGTGTAGACACTGTGGTTAGGTGTTGTCAGGCATGGCTTCGAGAAGGCCGTACGCAAAGAGCAAGGGGCACTGGACGCCGCCGTAGAACAACAGACCGTGAAGATCGCCGCCTAAGATTATTGGCCTTAAGGGACCGTTTCTCCACTACCAGGTCCATTGCAAATTAATGGTTTGCAGAACACGGAAGACCTATTGGCATGCGAAGTGTTTACCGACGAATGAGAAGTTTTGGCTTGTTTTCATACCGGCCACACTGGGTCCTCCCTGGGATCAGGAATGGAACAGTATTGTCTTTAGTGACGAATCTCGATGGTCGTGCCAGGGTTAGAAGGCGACGTGGTGAAAAGAGGAATCCACAGTTTTTTGTTGAAAGACATGTTCATCACACTGTTGGAGTTATGGTTTGGGGTGCTATAGCTTATGGTTCCAGGTCACCTTTAATCTTCATCAGAGGTAACATGAACGCGCAGCGTTATATCCACGAAGTTCTAGAACCCCATCTTTTACCCTATCTTGACACCCTGGCAGATCCAACTTTCCAACAAGATAATGCCCGACCACATGTTGTAAGAGTCACAATAGACTTCTTTCAAGATAATTATGTCACATTGTTACCATGGCCACCAAGATCTCCCGACTTATCCCCAATTGAGCACGTGTGGGATATGATGGGTAGGAGATTGCTCAATTTGCAACGTCCTCCTCAGACTCTAGAAGCACTTCGAGAGGAGTTGGTGGTTGCCTGGAATGAGATACCACAGGAGGACATTGACCACCTGATCAGAAGCATGCCTAGGCGCGTTGGAGAATGCGTAGCACATCAGGGTGCATCCACACATTATTAAAGGTCATTTACTTATTATGCTTCATTGAGTACTTATACAAAGTTTTATTAAAATAAAACCATTTAAACTGGGTGTTCGGATTTATATGTCACTTAGTATATCTAAGGCTACTTACTCTTATAGCAAACAGGTATTCAATAAATTTTAAGATGAGCAAGAAGTTATGAGATGCATAAATTACTATAAAATCGTATAATACACATGTATAGACAATTTTACCAAACGTTATTCGGCTTATTCAAAACAACTGTATACGTTTCATCTTCGGCTTATGTAAATTTGATCATGTAGCAACGAAACTTAATAATGAACTCTCAGAGAAAAGAATATTTGAGTACTCGAGCATAAGTCTACACTTTTAAAATTCAGTTTTTCCTACAGTGTTGCTATTATTTCTAGAGACCTTCCTAAAGTATATAAAGAATTTTCGTTACCTGTCTTTCTACAAAAAGTTTAAACGATAATACTTAACCCCCCAAACAAATAATTTACTTAATCAAGCATTTCTTTTTTCATCCCTTGCTTTGGTGTGCATGGATTTGGAAAGTATATCTTTTTTCAATTTCCTACTTTCGTAACTAACTAAATCAGTTTGTGAATAATGTATTGTTGTGAACATCAGCTAGCAACTACGAGCCCCTTCCCACTTCAGTTGGCCCAACTATTGAAATCTTAGAACACAAATAATAAAAATGTAGCAGGGTGTGATAGGTTTAAAATATTAACAATGAATATTTTGATAATATATAGTAGAAAACACCACCTTTATCACTCCCTAATCAAATTTGCAGCATAAAAATAACACATGTTGCAATTACAGCATATCAACCTATTTTCATTTCAATGCAAAATAAGTCTATAACGCAAAGGTGGCTGTGAGAAATAAAAGCCATGACAATTTTTTTATTAATCACAGCTGTCACAATACGTTTAAAATAGTTTTGGGTAGTTAAGGTTTTCAAAATGGGTAGAGGAAGGGTTATTAGTGAGAAAATTCGGCTACTGATAATTAAATTTTTTAACTCTGGGAAATCAAACTCAGAAATTGCAACTTTGTTAGACTTATCGCGGTACAGTGTGAGAAATATTATTAGAAGATATAACGTAAGTGGTTCAGTTAATATTAAGCCACGATATATGAAAAAAAGTAATATCACAAATGCCGACCGAAGAGCATTTTAGAAGAATAATCGTGAAAAACAGGCGTACAATTATTTACAATTAAGTGCTCTGTGGAGTGACGCTGTTGTAAGGAGAATTTCGAGGTTCACAACTCATAGAGAGGCCCACAAACTGGGATTTAGCACTTGCAAGGTAAGTTTTCTTATAAAAAAAGTGAAGTAAAGACCCTAAAGTTGCACAATTAGATGGGCTAAAGAACATAGACAATGGACACCTCAACAATGGTGTGCAGTACAATGGAGTGATGAGGCCCGTTTGTGTTGGTGACAGTCGCAGTAGAGTTATTCGCAAAAAAAATGAAGCATTCCATGTTGCCTGTCTGAAGAGAAAAGTGAAATTTCCAGCATCCATTATGGTCTGCGGCAGTATGTCATCAAAAGGAGTAGGAAAACTTCATTTTATTAATGGAAATGTGGATACAAACACATATTTGGCAACTTTAGAAGAATCTCTTTTACCAGTGATGGAAGAATGTTTGACATCCGGCCAAGATTTTGTGTTTCAGCAAGATGGTGCAGCGTGCCATACCTCAAAAAAGGCTATAAAATGGATGGAAGAAGATAATGTACCACTTTTGAAATGGGTTTCTAGCAGTCCAGATCTGTCACCTATTGAGACTTTGTGACACGAGATGAAAAAGCTTCTACGACAACATCCTGCTCGTACAATCACCGAACTGAGACAAAAGCTTCAAGAAATATGGGATTGTTTTACACCAAATTTTTGCCAAAACTTGGTTAACACTATGCCCCAAAGAATTGCAGTCGTAATAAAAAATAAAGGTGATGTTACCCAATGGTAATCTTTCAATTGTTGCTTTGTTAACTTCGCGCATTTATTCGCACATTGTTTATTTGTTCAGATGTTCTATTAGTTATAGGTCTAAGTGATTTCAAATATGTATTTTTTACGACTAGAGTGTATCTAAAATGTTTTTGAGAAAATAAATTGTTTTAGAAGTAAACAGTTTCGTCATGTTTAGTTTATAAAGGCACATTTTGGTACACATCTTGAAGTGGGCCAACTGAAGTTAGAAGGGGCTCGTATATGGTTAAGTGTAGGAGTAGCAGCATGCTAAACTTCGCGATATATGTCCCCCATTTGGCTATACTACAATGTAGTTCTAGATAAAAAAGACGTCAATTATTATTATTGTTCATTAATAACAACATCTTGGAGTCGCTTTGTTAGTCGTTTTGGGAGACATGTACAATATAAAAATAATTTCTTAGTTTTTACAATATTTCTTTCAATGTTCAAAACGGCTTGAAAATACGACTCCAATTTTTCAAAAGATTATTGCTAATAAACAATAGGCTGCCAACTTAATGCTCACTCATCGCAGTATGCGAAGAAAGTTAATTATCTTTTGTTTTGGCATATTTTCTACATCGAATTAAAACGCGGTAGGAAACGTGAAAAGGAGGGGTGCCGACATCTTTTATTGATGCCCAAGCACCCAAAATACGTATAAATGGAAAATTATTTCTCTAACAGATTTTCAAGAGTGTTTAGTGTCACCGGTTCTCTTACTATAAACAAAAATGAGCAATTATACTTACAAACTATTCCTCTTCCGTGCCTTTTGCAGTGTACTATCAGGATCTTTCAGTAGATATTTTCTGACTCCTTTGATATAGTTCCTAAAGAATGTCAACCAGTGTACCGTTCTCACGCTCATAGGAAACAAATCTTTGTCACGTTGGTTCAATTTGCACCAAAGGTTTGCCGTATTATCGTTTGACACTTTCCATGTGTGTGTCAAGAAGAATGAGATTGTATCCGAGAGTCTATGGACTTTCTTATAGATCTTCATCATCCTAGGAGTATGAAGATTTGTATTCAAAATTATGGTCATCTTACTTCGCAATTCTGTAGGCTTGGAAGTATTGAAATTTTCTAAATCTAGATGATATAAATCCTTGATGTGTGATCCATATACAGGGTGTCCCGAAAAAAGTGTGCAATATTCGACCAGCGGTTCTAGAGTTTAAAATAGGAAGAAAAGTTTATATAAACATAGGCGGACAAACGTCCCCTAAGGGCGCTACGGTCTTTTAAAGGGGCTCCCCTGAAGATGGTTTTCTCCTTAATATTTCCGAAACGTGTTGAGATAAAGACATATAGTAAAATTTGGTACTCTACACTAGTTTTTTATGCTGGATTTAAAAATATTAACAATTTTAGACAGCTTTGTTTGGAAGCGTATGTAACAGAGACAGACTCAGGTTATTTTAGCCACAAAATTTTTGTGTGATTCTATTTTTGAAATTCAATTTCAGAACATGAAAATTTAGGGTTTTCTACATAAAAAGGGTACTCTTATTAAATATCGATAAATTGTGCCAAGATAGGAAATGTACTGCGAATTTAAATGAATTGTTGATTATACATAGTTAGCCATGACTGCAAACAAAAATTGTTTTTATTTGTTATGACTTATTTTGACATTAAGCTGACATTATTAGCGGTGTAATATTACTAGATTAAAATCCAAATTTTTATTAAATCGATTTAAAATGCCAAGATTTACAGACAGAGAACTGCCTGACATGCATTTTGTGTACGGGTTTTGCAATGGCAGTTCATTGGCAGCCGTAAGAGAATATCAAAGAAGATTTCCCAATCGCATAGTACCTGGACGTCGAATGTTTACTGATATTCACCGGAATTTGTCAAACTATGGAAGTTTTCAGCGCATGCAGGGCTCAGGAAGGCCACTTGGAAATCATCGTATGGATATTGCTTTAAATATGTTTGAAAATAATCCGCAAATAATCATACAAAATCTTTCAGAAAATATGGATATATGTATCTCGATCAATAGTAAGAAAAATTTATGAATAGCTATTTGATAGTTATCCTAAAAATAATAATTTTAGATAGGAAGAATGACAAGAATGCAAGGATTACATCCTTATCATTTTAGACGGGTGCAGCATTTAACGGAGGCAGATTTTTTACCACGAATCGAGTTTTGCCAGTGGATATTAGCAAATGAAAACACTATTCCTAGAATATTATGGTCGGATGAGTTAATATTTACTAGGAATGGTGCTTTTAATTTCCATAACATGCATCACTGGTCAGATGAAAATCCAAAAGTTGTTCGCCGTACAAATTTCCAACATAGATTTTCATTGAACTTATGGGCAGGAGTAATTGGGGATCAAGTAGTTGGGTCTATTGTACTTCCAAATCGTCTTAATTCAGAGGTGTATCTGAACTTTCTTCAGAATAAGCTCATGGATATACGTAGTCGTGCCATAAGTTCTGTCCCATGATAATCTCATGATAAAAATGAAACAAGATAAGATATATTTATATGAAAGATATTATTTATTCGACAACATTTTTAGAATTCATAATCAAACAGTTTTATTCAAAATGTCCCCCCTTGGCCTTCACACACTGCTTCAATCTCGCGGGCCACTCATCTATCACTGCACGCACAGCTTCCAAAGGAATAGCTGCCGCTGATCGGATCAAATCCGCTTTCAGGGACTCGATATTACGGTGGGCTTTGGAGCAGGCCAACTGCTCTAGCAGGTCCCACAACTTGTAGTCTAAAGGATTGAGGTCCGGACTCCCTGAGGGCCAATCTTCCGCAGCAATGAACTCTGGCACATTGCTTTCCAGCCAGCGCTGCGTACTCTTAGCCTTGTGAGCGGGGGCGGAATCCTGCTGGTAGACCCAGTGTTGGTTGGCAAACAATGTACCACTTAAAGGCTTGACGATAGGATCCAGTATGTCGCTCTGATAGTTTGCCGCTTTTGTTTTCACGCCCTGTTTACAGAAATGGAGCTGAGTGACCCCTTCGTAGGACACCCCCCACCAAACCATGACTGACGCAGGGTGGTGGCCTCTCTCAACTCTCGGAATGATCTCCGAAGCTTCCTGTGAACTCCTTGCATACACTTTGTCATTTTGTCGGTTGAATTTTTCTTCTATGGTGAAGATTTTCTCATCCGTGAACAAAATCTTTCGGAATCCCCCAGCTGCGTACCTCTCCAAGAGCTTCTTGGATCTTGTCGCCCTGATGTGTCGCAAGGTGGCCGTAAGTCGCTGGCCCGTACGTCTCCGGTAAGCCCCTAGCCCTAGGTCTTGTTTAATGATGCGCGACATCGTCCGGACAGGAATCTTCATTTCCCTGTATAGGATCTTCTGCTTCCGGAGTGGATTCCTTTGAATCCTGGCTTTTACGGCTTTGATGGCTGCTGGAGTCCTTACTTGACGAGGTCTTCCGCTTCTTGGCCTGTCATCAACAGAGGACGTCTCATTGTACCGCTGAATGGTCCTAGACACAAATTTACGCGATATTTGAAGGCCGCGTAAGAGTTCAAAAATCTGACTAGCACTGTGATTACACTTATGTAAAGCTATCACTGCAATACGGTTCTCTGCCTTGCCCCACTCCATCGTTATGCTTCGAGAGATCAATACAAACTGAGGTATATGTAATTACCCGAAAAGCGCTTAATCAACTGACACCACAATGTAAACAATCGGACAAGTATTAACAGGTCTACACTTGTTTGAAAACGAGGGACAGAACTTATGGCATGACTACGTAATACCATTGGATGTGCGCCAGCAGTTTCAAGAAAATATGTTTTTTCAACATGATGGCGCCCCTGCACATTTTGGACGCAATGTTCGAAATTGGTTGAATGTCAATTTTCCAGACAGGTGGTTATGCCGAGGAGGTCCTATAGCGTGGCCGCCACGTTCACCTGACGTAAATCCATTGGATTTCTATTTTTTGGGGTCATTAAAAGACCTAGTTTACTCGATTGAAGTAAATACTCAAGAAGATTTACTTCAAAGAATCCATCAGGCTGCAAATGAAATAAGAAGAAAAAGGTTTTCCACTTTTCGGGCTACGCAATCATTAGTTCGTCGAGCGAGACTCTGTATCCAACAAAATGGGAATTTATTTGAACACTTATTGTAAAGCTGGTTATAAGTATATCCAACTGTATGTCTTCTTTTTTAAACAAATTTCAATTTCGTTCGTAGAAAAAATTTATTTCTTTGTAATATGTAATATTTACCAATTATTAAATTAGTTCTTTTGTTGCCATGGCTAATTATTCAACAATTCATTTAAATTCGCAGTATCGTACCTTTCCTATCATGTGACAAATTCTTTAGTTTGATTTTAATCAAAACTGGCACAACTTATCGATATTCAATAAGATTACCTTTTTTATGTAGAAAACCCTAAATTTTCATATTCTAAAATTGAATTTCAAAAATAGAATCACACAAAAATTTTGGCGCTCAAATAACCTGAGTCCGTCCCTGTTACATACGCTTCCAAACAAAACTGTCTAAAATTGTTAATATTTTTAAATTCAGCATAAAAAACTAGGCTAGAGCACCAAATTTTACGTCTTTATCTCAACACGTTACGGAAATATTAAGGAAAAACCATCTTCAGGGGAGTCCCTTTAAAAGACCGTAGCGCCCTTAGGTGACGTTTGTCGACCCATGTTTATATAAACTTTTCTTCCTATTTTAAGCTCTAGAAACCACTGGTAGAATATTGCACACTTTTTTCGGGACACCCTGTATATGTACTTCTCGAAATAACAAGTTACTCATTTCCATCGATATATTTTCTACTACAGCGATAGCGGAGAATTCTGAATATAAGGCAACCTTTAACGACGAAAGATTTAGTAATTTGAGAAATTGCCAATAATGCACTTTATCAACTTTCTGAAGGAGGATACTTGGGAGGCCTGCTCTGGTAACAATATCTCAAATTGTCATATTTTGTACCGGAATTCAAAAAGATGCCAGCTACTTACTTTGGCTTTTTCCCGAAAATTATTCTTCCACCATCTACAAGCAATCCAGGTACAACATGAAGTACCGACTTTAGCAGGAAGTACACAATGGGGTTCTTGGTCATTATCATGAATGCCGACCATAAAGCATTACGTACTGGGAAGTCTTGACCATACACCAAAATGTACTCTGAGAATTCTCTCCACATGATTGGGTTCTCTGTCGAAGATACGTAGTTGTAGATAGGAATCGTTTGGTCGGCCTGCAACATTGGAAACAATATGAATGAACTTGAAGAAAAGGCATCGAGTAGATTGACTCTGCACTTCTCACGCAACGCTCACGCCATTATGGCTTCATAATTATTTTCAGCGCCAACTTGACCCTCTGAGAAAAAAGTTAGTCGAACAGCTCCATGCAATTAGTCCATAAACATCCTTTTTTTGTCCTACCGTAGTCCATCTTGCAGCGTCGCCATCCCGGGCAGTCATGGCACCGCGGCCACGGCATAGGTAACACTATGCTATGGCGCGGCAGTAATACCAAAACACTTACCAGGACCGGCACGCCGCCGGGAGTTGACGCAAACGTTGCCATTAAGCACGCAATCTGCTGAGAATATTTATCTAAGTTTGAAGGGAAAATGTACGATGTGTAAAATATATCTAATAATTGCGTAAAATTACCAAGATTAGGAGCAAATAAATATACTACCATTAAAAAATTGAGAAAATCTGAAACGTCAAAAAACAAAGTTTGAGCATTTTTTTCATTTTTGGCCTTTTTCTCCGCCGCCAATGGACCGATTTTTAAAAACTAAGCTTTTTCGTCCTTGGCATTGTAGTAACACTGTGTAAAAATTTCATCAGAATCCGAGCGATACTTCTCAAGATATAGGAGTAGCGGACAGACAGACGCACCGACAGACAGACGGAAATGAGTGGCATTGTTATTCATGGTGTACGTCATATAACATTCGAAAAACATAATGTCTTATGTTTTTGAAAATTTTCGCGAATGCAATACTTCCCTGTCAGAAGGTGATGGAAGTAAAAATAGGTGACTAGAAACGAAACGGCAAACCGAATAGCAGAACGTATTGAAATAATTATTATTTCTGTTTCTGTTCGCAACTGTATAGAAATGCTTACAGAATTGAGCATACCTGACATGAAGGATATTAATAAGTTTGGAGAACAGTTTTTATTTCTCAGGCAGACTGGCGATCAAGTATTGTACTCGTGAAACATTTAGAAATTCTCCTGATGTTAAATTACGTAGAAAATGACTACGAAAGACGTCACTGATTTCCCACAATCTACCTTCTACCTGTTGGCCTGTCGATCCTTGACTCCTTGACGCATCTATAACTCGGAAACTTTCGCTTGGATTTTGATGAAATTTTGGAACAAAAAGATGACTACGCCAAAGCGGAAAGCTTTGTAGGTTTGTGTTTTGAACAGGAGCTACAGGCAAAAAAAAACAAATTGAAAATAATTTATCTATCTGGTACTAACATACGGACTTACTCATAAGTAAAAGCGACAGTCTTAAATTAGAGACGTGCTTTACAAAGTTATGTATATAAAAGAGCCGGGCAGTTCCACTATTGCATCCTAGATGACATACTTTGGGAGATGCTACAAAAGGTCAGTGTGGCAATAGGCGCACAAAAATTTCTTAAAAACACCGAGAAAGACAAATCAGTGAAGCCGATTTTGACTAAAAGTAGATCATCCATTCAGCCAGCCAAGCCAGCAATGTCAAATCCAGGCTCAAAAATTCAAGCGTCCTGTACACTATATCTCATAATGATAATAATACTTTAAAAAAGGTTTTCATTCAACGTTCCATATCTTTATCATCGTATTTCACCCCTTGAATGAATGAATGAATGAATGAATCTTGAATTTTAGAGGCATCCCGGCCACCATAAGGAGCCAGTGCATAGGCCGCTTAAGCGGGCCCTTATGCACCTCTACAATACTTAAATCACAAGCCTCGCCCTTTTAGCGAAGTTGAGAATCGCCTTGAGTCCAAGCTCCTTTACGTTCTGAGGGTCCAAAGTAATGGACCCCAGTATAGTCTGCCTATAGTAGCTCAGAGCTTCACAGCGACACAAAACGTGCGCCGAGGTCTCTTCCTCTACTCCGCAGCGTTCGCACAAGGGATCCTCAGCCACCCCCATCACGTGCAGGTGCCGCCTTAACGTGTTATGGCCAGACAACAGTCCCACCAGCAACCTTAGGTTGGCTCTACCCAGAGATAGGCAGAAGCGTCCATCCTTAGCACTGGGCCCTTCAATGAGCTCTCGTGCCTGGCGGAGATGTCTAGAGATACTTCTCCATTTCTGAGAGTGTTGTCTTGCAACCCACGTCTCCATTTTCCTCCTAGCTTTATGCGCGGTTACTCCTAGAGCTGGCTCAGGACCAACGAGCTTGCTGGCTGATCCTGTTTTCGCCAGAGTGTCCGCCGTCTCATTGCCCCTTATCCCAGCGTGCCCCGGTACCCATATTAACGATACCGGATGCCTCGCTGCGAGGCAATCCAGAGCCACCCTGCATTGCAATACAAGACTCGAAGTAATCTTACATGCACTTAGTGCTTTCATTGCAGCCTGGCTGTCGGATAAGATTGTTAATATTCTTCTCCTAGGCCCACCCTCCTCCAGAATGTGAGATACACAAGCCAGAATCGCAAAGATTTCCGCCTGGAAAATGGTGGTGTACTCACCGAGAGGCAGAGATAGCCTAGTTCTAGGTCCAGAGACCCCAGCACCTGAGCCCTCTTCGGTGACCGAGCCGTCCGTGTACCAGACCTGCCCGCTCACTTCGGAGAGTCCTCGGCTACCGGCGTCCCACTCCTCCCTCGTTGGGTACTCCACAATGAACTTGCGGTTGAAGCGATATTTAGGGGTAATACGATCACCCCTTTCCTAAGTAGTACGTATTTTGAAAGCATACAGAAGCAATATATTTTTGTTTTTCATTGTTTATATATAAGCTAAAGGCACCGTACAAGTATGTATGTGACATAATCTATAAAAAATGAAGGTTTGAAACTGATTGAATTGCAAAATAATAAAACATTAGAAATCGCCCAGAGAATCCCGCTCATCTCTGGACATTTTTGAGCGTCAAAGATTGGGGATGGGGGATGCAGAGAGTGTGGACCGAAGATCGATAACGCGATGTGAAACCTACAGTGCTGTAGGGATATTACAGAACCACTACTTTTTTGTAAGAGGGTCTAACTTGTACCGAAAATAATGTTTCATGAATTGTTGCAGCATTGCGTGGAATGTGGAAAGCCTACCTACTTGAAGCCATTTTTGTAATATGTATTTGGCTCGGAAGTTGATAAATACGTAATTTCCATCGTATTGACAGAATAAAACTAAAACAGGATTAAATTAGTAAAACTGGATGGCAATCATTTTATGAATTATTACAATATCTCTCAAGCTGATACTTCTACAGGTTTTTTAGTATTCGGGCGTACGGTCCGGGAGGTGAGCGCGAGCAAAGTATTATACAATTTCGTTTCTACTAGGCGTAGGTATGTGGTTATTTGGCTGGCAGAAGAATTTTACCCCCGACTTTGGTGTAGGTAATAACTTTATGAGCACGTCTTACCTTTTTATGATTCTGAGCGACATCCCAGGCAGTAGCAACAAGACCTGCAACGCAAGTGTCCACAGGGACCAGATCTGCCACGTCCTTCGATCCGCACATTATCACCCTCATAACACCTGAGACGGCTGCTGCTGCTACACCAGCTGGTCCATTCATGTGGTCTGTCCATCCTGGTATTGGCTCATTGTATGTGGATACGACTGGAAACAACCTGATTGATAGTGGCGACTAGGAACTCTATTTACCCCAAATTCGAACTAAGCGTCGAAATATACAAAAGAATATGATGGTCCGTTTCACAGACCTCGACTATTAATTTATACAGGGTGTTTCAGTTTATTGTTGCATAACTTTAAGATTCGATATAACTTTTAAAATTAATGCTTAAAGTCATATAAACATGGGTCGAAAAATGCGTGGCTTCCGAAATACAGGGTGTTTAAATTTACTTTTTTAAATAGTTTTTTTTTAATATTTCGAACAATATTTGATGTATAACAGTGAAAATTGATATACAAGGGTTTTTTGGTACGACAAAACGAACCATGGACATAGTTTTACTGTAGCCGCTAGAGGGCGCTCTCTACTGTACCTGTAGTGTATTACAATGACCGAAAATTTTTTCTTAGTGCAATTTTTTGCTTTTTGAATAAAAAAACTGATTTTTCGCACTTTTTTGCATAAAAAAGCTATCCTGTGAGTTTTCGTTATATCTAGCCGTTTTTGAGATATTTCGATTTTTAAGGTCCGATGCATTTTTAATTATTTATGGGATAATAAATTTTTTTTTACATTTTCGATTTGGGCATTACAAGTAATTAAGATGATCGTTTAGATTGTGTTTTTTTAAACTCAGCAATTACTCCTAACTCCGAAAAAACACACAAAAAACAGAATATTAATTTGTTTAATTTTCCAATATTATTTTTAACAAATTAAATTAATTACTTACAACTAAAATGCTATTGGATAGTTAGGACAAACATACAAAATCTAAAGTAGTTGCTCGAAATGTAAACCCAATTGTTCAATACACAATTCACATATACGAATGATCGAACGTGGTATAGCATTATTCAAATAAGGCCTTATTTCATCACATGCATTCCTGATTCTGTCTATTAGCATATCTCTTGTGGTTACGGGAGTCTGGTACACTTTTTATTTTAGAAATCCCCACACAAAGAAATCTAATGGATTTAGGTGAAGGGATCGTGGAGGCCAGGCGACTGGTCCTAACACTTGTGGTCGGATCTCTATCAAACTCACGTAGAATTATACGGGTAAATCTGCGCTGACGAACATTTATGTTTTGATCCCTTTGGAGATTTCCAAAACCAGTTTCAATTATTTGGCGATGCACTCTTACAAATACTGAGCGAGTTGGATGTCGTCTGTTTGGAAATCTTCGTGCGTATTCTCTGGCTGCTTCTGCTGCGTTTCCATTTACAAAGCCATACACAAAATGAATATCCGCTAACTCTTGATTGGAGAATAAAAATGGCATTTTTATAAAACTTACAAAAAAAAAACAGGTAAAAGAAACTAAGTTTCATGCATTCACAATTGCAAAAAAACCATTCAGTTTTCAACAGACAACAAAACTAACTGTCAACTAATTGACGTTTAACCTTATTCTGCTTTCAATTTCAAAAATATTTACAGGCACAGCCTACTTCTAAAAATTATCGAGATACTGACTTTTTAATGTTATTTTATCATAGATAATTAAAAATGCATCGAACCTTAAAAATCGAAATATCTCAAAAACGGCTAACTATAACGAAAATTCACAAGAGAGCTATTTTATGTTGAAAAGTTCGAAGAATCAGTTTTTTTATTCAAAAAGCAAAAAATTGCACTAAGAAAAAATTTTCGGTCATTTTAATACACTACAGGTACAGTAGAGAGCGCCCTCTAGCGGCTACATTAAAACTATGCCCAAGGTTCGTTTTGTCGTACCAAAAAACCCTTGTACTATACCAATTTTCACTGTTATACATCAAACATTGTTCGAAAAATTTAAAAAAAAAACTATTTTAGTAAGTAAATTTAAACACCCTGTATTGCGGAAGCCACGCATTTTTCGACCCATGTTTATATAGACTTTATGCATTAATTTTAAAAGTTCTATCGAATCTTAAAGTTATGCAACAATAAACTGAAACACCCTGTATATACATTATAGTCTTTTAGAAACATGGAAGAACATTTCAGATGCGATTGCTTCGTTTCGAATATCTGGGCCAAAAAAAAAAATTCTGTGAAGTAACAGGTATTATTTACAAGTGAAACTCAACGAATCTAAAGCTTGGGGACAGATAGAATGCAAGGTTAGAATATTTTCGTTATAGACTTTCGAACTCTTACAAATATACTAGGGACATTTCCTCATCTATACCAATGCTTAGAACTAGCACCTTCCGTATAGTTACTCGTAGTTAATATAAATATCATTGGATGGACCTCCATCCAGACTTATGAGAAGGCAACCCTAATGAATACTTGGTGGTTGTACCTCAATAAGAAACGGTCTAGATGTGATTGTAAGAGTTCGACCTATGCGGAGAAAATCTGAACATACATAGTGTGAAAAAACGACATCATGTCACTTTTCAAGTTACGTAATATCCCTGCGAGACCCAACGCAAAAACTTTGTAGGGGTGCCCCCAAAGCTGAATCAATTATTGTCTTAGGAACGTGATCGTATAGAAGTAATTTCGCTCAAGCTAGTGACTGATATTACAAATGTCATACCTACTGCTGGTCTGAAAATTCCAACAGGAAGTGTCCCAGCTGAGTCTTTTATGACATTCTCCGCCAATGCTTTTGTGAAAGTGTAGGTATTTGGCCACCTTCCAATAATCCTGCAAACATATTGTCTTCAGTTAAAAAAAAAAGTAATAAAATTATCTAAGGCTATACCTTGGTGTCAGCTCGCCAGCTTCAAATTCGTTCATTTTTTCTAATGTAGCACCCACATGATCGTATGAATGAGGACATTTGTAAAAGACTTCATCTATTTCTTCTAAGTAGCAATTTGAGTACAAAGTGGAGACATGAATTAAAGCCTAAAAAACATTTAAATATTTCATAAATTGAAGCTTATAATGGGTGATTTTTTTGCTAGTATTTTTTTGGCAACACTGTTTTTGACAGATGACGCGTGAATCGTGTCTTGTGTTATTGTCAAACTTGTTCAGTTTGGTCTATAATTTAACCATGAATCGACTTACGAACGAACAACGCTTGCAAATGATTAAATTTTACTATCAAAATTCATGCTCGGTTAAGAGAGTGCATCGAGCACTGCTTCCAATTTATGGGCAATTTGGTCGGCCTACTGAGGGAGCTATTCGGAATCTTGTGACTAAATTTCGAACCCAGTTTACATTATTGGACATTAAACCACCAACACGCAGACGTAGAGTGAGGACTGAAGAAAATATTGCGGCTGTATCCGCCAGTGTTAATGATGACCGTGAAATGTCGATTCGCCGCCGTTCGCAGCAATTGGGCCTCTGTTAATCCACTACGTGGAAAATTTTGCGACAGGATTTGAGTGTAAAACCTTATAAGATACAGCTGGTGCAAGAATTGAAGCCACACGACCTCCCACAACGTTTACATTTGGTGAATGGGCGCTGGCAAAGTTGGAGGAAGATCCACATTTTTATCGAAAAATTGTGTTCAGCGACTAAGCTCATTTCTGGTTGAATGGGTACGTTAACAAGCAAAATTGCCGCATGTGGAGTGAAGACCAGCCAGAAGTATTGCAAGAGCTACCAATGCATCCCGAAAAAATCACTGTTTGGTGTGGATTACCGGTCGGTGGCATCATCGGGCCGTACTTCTTCAAAGACGACAATGGCCGGAACGTAACTGTGAATGGCGAGCGCTACCGTGCGATGATAACAAACTTTTTTTGCCCAAAATGGAACAGCTGGACTTGGCTGACATGTGGTTTCAACAAGACGGTGCCACATGCCACACCGCACACGAAACAATGGCCCTATTGAGAGGCGAGTTCGGTGAACAGTTTATATTTGGAGAGAGTGTGCCAAAATTGGACCTTGCGCATGGGTCATCTAAATCGGAGCCGCGGCCAGCATTTACATGAAATAATCTTTAAACATTAAATTATATCTACCGTTCTATCGACTTAAATAAAGATTTAATCGTCTTTTCAAATTTTTTGTGTTTTTTTGAAAATCAAATCCTCCTCTTGAAAAATCACCCGTTATAACGAATAACAGTTTTAGGAATTAGACTCAACTTTAGGTATATGGCTTTCCAGGTGTTTTTACAACTAGGATTTGATAGGTGTATGGTTCCAAATAGCATACAAACCTTCAGTCTTTTCATATGCTTTGCGATCTCCAATACGTTTTTAGCACCATTTACGTTTGTGTTGAACGCTCTCTTTAAGTTTTCATCAAATTTCACCGTAGCTGCCACGTGAAATATAACATTAACATCAGACGTTATGATTTGTCTATCGGTTATGCTTAGCCCGAGTCCGGAATGTGAGCAATCGCCAGGTATAACTTTGATTCTGTGTTCGAATTTTGGTTGTTCTTTCTTTATCCTGTCGAATATCTGAAAATATTACAGGAAGATACAGTCCAGCATAATATCTACAGGTGGATCTGACGCCTCAGTAACTAAATTATTCGGTTTAATTAAAGTAAATTTTCTAGAACCAGTTTAATTGAAAGTAATATACTATTAAACTAATTTGCTTAAAAATAGTTTATGTGGTATATATGTATATATATATATACGAGCCCTTTCCCACTTCAGTTGGCCCACTTCAAGATTTGTTACCAAAATATGCCTTTATAAACTAAACATGACGAAACTATTTACTTCTAAAACAATTTATTTTCTCAAAAACATTTTAGATACACTCTAGTCGTAAAAAATACATATTTGAAATTACTTAGACCTATAACTAATAGAACATCTGAACAAATAAACAATGCGCGTATAAATGCGCGAAGCTAACAAAGTATTGAAAGATTACCATTGGGTAACATCACCGTTATTTTTTTTTACGGCTGAAATTCTTTGGGGCATAGTGTTAACCAAGTTTTGGCAAAAATTTGGTGTAAAACAATCTCATATTTCTTGAAGCTTTTGTCTCAGTTCGGTGATTGTACGAGCAGGATGTTGTCGTAGAACCTTTTTCATCTCGTGCCACAAAGTTTCAATAGGTGACAGATCTGGACTGCTAGAAACCCATTTCAAAAGTGGTACATTATTTTCTTCTATCCATTTTATAGCCGTTTTTGAAGTATCGCACGCTGCACCATCTTGCTGAAACACAAAATCTTGGCCAGATGTCAAACATTCTTCCATCACTGGCAAAAGCGATTCTTCTAAAATTGCCAAATATTTGTTTTTATCCACATTTCCATCAATAAAATGAATTTTTCCTACTCCTTTTGATGACATACTGCCCCAGACCATAATGGATGCTGGAAATTTCACTTTTCTCTTGAGACAGTCAACATGGAATGCTTCATTTTTTTGCGAATAACTACTAGGACTGTCACGAACACAAACTTCGAATCGGGCCTCATCACTCCATTGTATTGCACACCATTGTTGAGGTGTCCATTGTCTATGTTCTTTAGCCCATCTAAGCCGATTTTTCTTTTGCAGTGGAGTTAATAGTGGCTTTTCTTTGGCCTATAAACAAGTTGTACAACTTTAGGGTTTTTGCTTCACTTTTTTTTATAAGAAAACTTACCTTACAAGTGCTAAATCCCAGTTTGTGGGCCTCTCTATGAGTTGTGGACCTCGAAATTCTCCTTCCAACGGCGTCCCTCCACAGAGCACTTAATTGTACGTATAAATAATTGGCACGCCTGTTTTTCACGATTATTCTTCTTAACGCTCTTCGGTCGGCATTTGTGATATTACTTTTTTTCACATATCGTGGCTTAATATTAACTGAATCAGTTACGTTATATCTTCTAACACTATTTCTCACACTGTACCGCGATAAGTCTAACAAAGTTGCAATTTCTGAGTTTGATTTCTCAGAATTAAAAAATTTAAATATCAGTAACCGAATTTTCTCACTAATAACCTTTCCTCTACCCATTTTGAAAACCTTAACTACCCAAAACTATTTTAAACGTATTCTGACAGCTGTGATTAATAAAAACAATTGTCATGGCGTTTATTTTTCACAGCCACCTATGCGTTATAGACTTATTTTGCATTGAAATGAAAATAGGATGATATGCTGTAATTGCAACATGTGTTATTTTTATGCTGCAAATTTGATTAGGGAGTGATAAGGTTGGTGTTTTCTACTATATATTATCAAAATATTCATTGTTAATATTTTAAACCTATAACACCCTGCTACATTTTTTTAATTATTGTTTGATAAGAAAAAAACGAAGATTTCAATAGTTGGGCCAACTGAAGTGGGAAGGGGCTCGTATATACGAGTATATATATAATGTAGGACATAGTCATTGTCGTCAACAACCAGTTAGGTGAGAAAAAAATCAGCTTTAATTGGGTACTTGGACATATTAGTGCAAAGTGTACTCTTGGAACTTCTCTAGCTTTCGATGAACTATGTCATCATCAGGAGAAAAGTAGATGAGATTGTTGCTAAATGTTATATATATACAGTATTCATAGTTAATTGCCTTAACTGTTAGGAGAAAATATACTTGAATTTCTTTGGGTACAACGCAAAGTTTTGCATAAGTACACTCTTATAACTTGAACTCGAGCTTTCGATGGTCTATGCCATCAGCGTCTGGAGCTGAAAACAATTTTTAAAAAATAGGAACAGTAAGCAATTAGGGGGAAAAAATAACTACTTACTAAGTCGGCGTGATTGTTGCTGAAATTGTTCTTAAACGACCGTGAAAGGAAACACATAGTCGACGAAAAAAATAAAATAATTCCATCCTAATCGAACCTCATCGGTCCAGTTTTTTGTTGTGTTCCCTTTCACGGTCGTTTAAGAACAATTTCGCCGACTTAGTAAGTAATTATATTTTTTCCTCCTAATTGCTTATTGTTGCTATTTTTTAAAAATTGTTTTTTAGCTCCAGACCATGATGGCATAGACCATCGAAAGCTCGAGTTCCAAGTTATAAGAGAGTACTTATGCAAACCTTTGCCTTCTATCCAAAGGAATTCAAGCATATATATATATATATATATATATATATATAAATTATCATGCGGAGAAAGGTACATAACAAAAAATAGGAAAATAATGGGCAAAATCCGCAAAAAGAAGGAAAGTGGATACGAGCAGAAAATAGGATAGGTAACCCGAGCCATATGTATATATATATATATATATATAAAGTGAATAGGATCATGCGGAGAAAGGTATATAACAAATAGAAAAAATAATGGGTAAAATCCGAAAAAAGCAGGAAAGTGGATTCGAGCAGAAAATAGGATAGGTAACCCGAGCGATGTTGGCTTCATCAGGCTCGAAATGAATTCACATATGCAACTACAAAAGTAGATACACATGCCCATACATCCGGATACGGGTGTAGCCTGAGGAAACGAAGATGGAGAGGGAACAAAACGACACACGAAGTCACCAACAAGAGCCAACCTACACATTGTAGTACAATGGCTAGAAGACATCGAATTTTCAAGGCGACGTTTAAGCACAACTACGCGGCCGGTTATAGCCACCTGCCGTGGTACTTCAAGCCCAAAGGATCTACAAAGTGTAAGTTTTCGCTCTAAGATGTTTTATAAATTAGAAATAAAAAATGTATTTGAGGACATACGTTATCTGCAAATATCCAGCGATATCCTACATCACAAAAAACTTAAATTTATAATCTTACCTCACACTCAAAAAGTTCTTCTAGTCTTCTGTAGACGTCCTTTTCCTTTTTCGGTCGAATAAGTAGATAAATATTGGACACTTCAGTGGATCTCAGTAGCTTTTCTATAAGAACCTTACCCAAAAATCCCGTTCCGCCGGTGACGAATACATTTTTTGAATGATAGAAATTTAGAATCTCTGATGTCTCTTGCATTTTCTGGTCTGTATAGAATAGAGCATAGTTCTCGTATCAGTACGTAGGAAATAATGCCAATAATAATATTCGCTATACAGTACGTAACAACCCGCTATCAAAAGTAATATGATACGACTCCATTATGTATACATACCTACATACCTATAAGCTACGGCATCAGCAAACAATGCTGATAGTGCCAAAACTTTGGCATAAAGAAAAAATTGTACACAGTGGATTTTTTTCATCGTATTCAAAATGTCTAAAAGATTCCGCGGGAGCCACTTTCCCTCGCCCTGCCCTTAGGAGCAGTAATCAGGTGGATAATGCTTTTCCAGGCAAGAGAGATTACTTGGTACTCTCAAAATATGTTAAATAGGTAGCATGGTAATGGTGCAAAATATCCTTGGGACAACATTGATTTGCCTGATTTGTAATGACTACATGGACTACTATAGGAATTATTTCCTTCGGTTTGTTTTTGTTGCCTCGTATTCTTAGTACCAGCTGAAGGTGCTGATCATGTTGATGGAACATGGAGTAATCAAATACTAATCTAATCTAAAACCCTTCAAATGCCGTTTGTTATTTCTCGATTTCATGATAATCTTCACTGTACACGTTATCTTAAGGCCTTTCACCCTGCCAAACAAGTACAATTTGTAAAAATACTGTTCGCGTATGCCTATACAGGGTGTCCCAGGAGTCGACGTCAAGCCGGAAACGGGGGCTGAAGGAAGTCAGTTTGAACATCTATTGTGAAGTTAATAAATACATTTACGAATTAATAAACGTGGCGTTACTACCTGTCTTGCTGTCACTGCATAGACTGACACTGTCCGTCACTCCGTCTAAAAAAAAAAATTAAAATTTGTAGTAACGGGAACTAAAAGATCATCACAGGGCGTAGTTTTTTCCTATTTTTTTAAAGCCTATTATTTGAAAAGTACACAACTTAGATTTTTTTATATTTTTTTAATAACTATTATGACTTGGCCTAGCCCCCGTCACCGGCTTGACGTCGACATCTGGAACACCCTGTATACAAAATAAATTTTCTTCACAATCATATTTTTTGATCAGGTTTCTAACGTATGCCTTCAAAAGCTCACGTGATCATCAAGTTTGGAATTTTCTGAATGAGTGAGTTCTGTTCCACTATTTTTCACGGTCTCATCCTTATTTTCTCCAGATCATGTACCTTATTTATATATATATATATACATACATATATACAGGGTGGCCCATCCATGTGTGGACGGAATATTACTCATAAACAAATACATTTGGGGAAAATCTATTTATGGAATGTTATACATTACATTTGAGGGCACATTTCTAAAATATTGGCCATTATACAGGGTGTCGCAATTTCGACCTACATATCAAAGTTGTGGTTTTTCAAATGGAATGCCTCAAATTTTATTGCATATTTGGATAAACCAATTCAAAAGAAGAAACTTGATTTATCCATACTATGGGGTAAAATAAACTTACACAACTCAGCTTTTATTTTATTTGTTTCTTTTTCGAATTATCAATTTTGCTCATACAGGGTGGTCAAAAACGCAAATTGTAGTTTTTCTCAAAAATTTGCATCACCCTGTATATTTGGCAAGTTTGGAATCAATTTTTAATAAGCTTTTTTTGATACTAGACACATAAGGGTTTTTACGGATATTTTTTCGGTTATTGGCCTCCTAGATCACTAGATATGACACCGATGGACTTCTTTCTATGGGGCTACGTTAAGCAAGAGGTTTATAGATATCCACCATCTACCGCGGAAAATATGAAGGAAACGATTAAGGATGATTTTCTGAACATGCTGAAGGATGTGCAACGGTCATTTATCCAAAGACTACGGCTGTGTATTCAACATGGTGGATATATTTTCGATCCGGGTTTTGTAGATTAGGTCTTGATAGCTGTTTGTTTATGCTGTTGTTATAGTTGTTTTTCTCTATTACGCTTGAAGCTGATTTATACTGTTCTGATTGTTATTAGGTTTTATGTCAAATCTGTACTCTTAGTGGCAATATGGAACTAGCCCACTGTTTGTCTTTTGTTTCCATGGATGATGTGATTTTTTTCCTTAATTTTGGTGTCTTGTTTTATTAAAAGCTTAATAACTCAAAATCTAGTAATTTTGTCTGAATCAAACCTTATACAAAACAAAGCTTATAAAGAATTGAACCCAAACTTGCACAAATATACAGGGCGATGCATTTGAAATTTTTGAAAAAAGTACATTTTGCATTTTTGACAACCCTGTATGAGCAAAAATGAAAATTCGAAAAAGTAACAAATAAGATAAAAGCTGAGGTGTGTCAGTTTATTCTGATATAAAATTCAGTACTCCAAATTTCAAAATGGCGGATTGAGCGAAGTGGATGGTTTTTCTGGACAAAACAGCTTACATCTCAGTAGCTAATCACCAAAACCTCATAGTATGTTATATCAATCTTCTTCTTTTGAATTGGCTTATCCACATATGCAATAAAATTTGAGGCATTCCACTTAAAAAATCACAACTTTGATATGTAGGTCAAAATTGGGATACCCTGTAAAATTGCCAATATTTTAGAAATGTGCCCTCAAATGTCATGTATAAAAAACCATAAATATATTTTCTCAAAATGAATTTGTTTATGAGTAATATTCCGTCCATACATAGATAGGCCACTCTGTATATATAAAAGAGATTATTTCAACTATACTCAAAAATTAAAATTATTGTGATGTCGTAAGATTTGCGAAAGGAGACGTCACTATGTCGTAAAGGGAGCCAAGAAGGATTTGAACTTTTTGCGGTGGAGCAAGGGAGGAAAGTAAAAATTGGAAATACTAGTATGTTACGCTTTACACATTATGAAATCAACATCTGCTTGAATACCCCTCTTGTTGATCAACTAAGTAAGCAGAGGTGAGCAAAATGGAGTGCAGCGAAAAGTATCGCGTGTTTTCCGGAAATTGAAAGCATAGAATCTTTGATACAAATTCATTTTCAAGTTACGTGCAACGGACGATTTGACAAAAACAGTGTTAAATTTTAGGCTTCAGGCTACTGCAGCTTACAATTCATTTCGCTTAAATTAATTAGACAGCAGATACTAACAATTTTGAAAATTCATAGCCCCTGATGTATCCTGTTGTCAATGAATCGATTTGTGACAAAGAAGGCAGTCCGAATAGGACGAGCGACGTATATACAATGATAAAACGTCCCAACAGCTTATTAGTCAAAATTAAAAAAAATATTGCAATTATTATATACCGCTCTCGCTTATTCGTAGATAGTAACATTTCCCTACAAAAAAAAAACTCTCTCCGAGGATTTGCATTTTAGTGTGTAATTTACCACTCTAGTATTATTTATTATGAAATCCATTTATATTAAAATTATAGTAAGAATATTTGGCATTGCACACTTACCTTTCTATGATACACTCACATTCAGCACTGCGATTTTATTTGACGAGTCGCGAAATCTATGAAATTGAAAGATCTGCACTGGTACTAGCTGCAGATGAAAAACTTTCTCTGCAGTTTTAATATTAGCATAGCACTAGAGTGCGGAAATGCACTCAGTATGTCTCTCAGCGGATCGTTACATAATTTGCTATTCGGTGCTCAGTTGAGAGAATGTACGAAAAGGAAATGTATTAGAAAAGTTGATCTACTTAACAGCGTGTACAGAGTGGAATGAGATTTAATGGTAATCCATATGTGTATTGTTTTTCACGTAGATAATTAATGAAAGCATAGAAATAATCATATGAAGGCTTGAGTTTTTACAAACGTTTCGGTCACCTCGATTTCAAAGTGCAGATCAAAAAATTAAGGTGACAATATATTTGTCTTTCAAGTCCAGGTGACAGTTTGTTTATTTTTCCCGTTATTATAAAGTAATAATAATAGCGATAGAATAAAAACAGAAGAACGGACCTATTATGAACAAGGTATCAATCGGTAAACAGAATTTAGCACTCAATGTGCTGAGCCCAGATAGTGCAACTTGACTGTTTTCTTGAAACTCTGCGAACTTAACGGGGCTCCTACAATCACGAGCACCATCTGCTGAGGTAACGGAGGGGTGAAAAGGAAACGAGGATAGGCTGGTATTAGACGGTCGTCGGTGCTACTTTAAAAGAGGAAAGGATGACTGCGGGTGCGTACCGAGGTAAATTTTTATAATAACAGAGTCGGATTTCGATTAGCGATATAGAATGTAAATCGTTTCTTATTTTGGTACTCAGCAAGTGATCATTGTTGGTGTGATTGTTCTTGAGTGTCTTTTTTCATCAAGGCTGATAATGGACAATAAAGGGTCATATGCAACAATTTTAATTACGAATTCAGTGAGTTTAATTCATGATGAGGTCAACAATAGTGTGGAGCAGTTCAACTCTATAATCGCAAAAGACATTGGGATACGCTTATAAATTATTGCAAGAAGAGGTCATACCATGGAAGATGTGCTGCAGCTGTAGTGAGCCACAATACCGGCGGCCTGTATATGTGGTCTAAATACATTTACGTTCTAGGCTTCGTCCAACCTCGCTTATCGCTAAGATGGAACAAAGACTCAAACGCAAGAATCGTGAAAAGAAACTCAGACCAAAAAAAGCTGATATAAAAATAACTAACAATTCGGATAGCAATTCCAAAGAAAATGAATAGTTTTGTGGCGAATTCAATCAAAAACCTAACATTAACTACATTGATTTGGAGGTTGCTAAGCGAAAATTTTTAGGGAAACTTAAAAAAAATGACGACGAGATTTTGCAGATCGAACAAGTCACCAAATCACAGGACTGTACTTTGTCGCGCCTTCATCGGAGGATAAGGTTGACAGCGTCTCGATTTGGTGAAGTTTGTAGAAGAAGGTAGACAACCAGCTGTAAAGTTCTAGTAAACTTCATCATATACCCAACAGAGTTTTCTAATAACGCAATAAAAAAGGCAATACAGAAATCATTGGACACCGCAGTTCAGTCTTGTGGTTTGTACCTATTACAGTAGATAAGAAATATACTTAATCCAGGTATAAGCCGACCTGTTTATCGCTTTGCAAAAACTACCTAACTGTTTCCTCTGATTTTGACGGCAT